CTTATTGGTAAACATTCGAAAAAAAAAAAGGAAGAATATTTTCTTTCTAACAGAACGGAAAAAAAAAATTTGTAATATTGAGGTTAAAGGTGAATATAACATTTCTGACACGCCTTTTATAATATTTAACTAAGTACTTTTTTTTAATAGTACTACAAATGTATTGGACTAGATCAATGATCAAGAAAGAAGAGAAATTTTTGTTAACTTTTCAAAGATTTTTTTTCTGCTTTATTTTTTGAAAAAGTTTTGTCTATATAATAATCAATAAGATGATCTTTCAAAAAAAAAAAAAAAAAAAACTAACCTTTCGGTGTACCAGTACTGCCACTAGTATACATAATAACAGCAATATCGTTTCTATTAGGTCGTTTTCGTAAAATATTATCATCTAAACAAAAAATTATTTTAAACAAACTAAAATAAGAAGAAAAGAAAATTTACCAATAGTTGCATTTTTTCCTCGTTCTTCTAATTGACTTAATGGTATATATTTAATATTATGTGTATCATTAGGTAGTTTTATTATTTGTGATTTTGCAAGAGAAGGAAAATAAATAATATGACTAACTTTTTCCGTATGATGTAATATTTGCTAAATAAAATAAATTAATCTTTTTTTGTTTTCAAAATATTTTTTACTAAAAATAAAACAATATTACTTCCAGTTTAGGTAGTAATTCATGTGAAGTAACAATAATTGATACTTGTGATTCATTAATTCCATGTTTAACAGCTTCTTCACCCAAAGTCGAATAAAGTGTAACAACAGTTATACCATGACGAAAACCGGCAAATGCAGTTAATAACCATTCAGAACGTGTTTCAGAAAAAATTAAAAGTTTATCACCTGTTTTAGCTCCAATAGATAATAAACCTCGACCAATAGCTTCAATACGATTATATGTTTCACGATATGTTGTAAATTTATATTCACCCAATACAAACTATATTTTATAATTAAAAAATTTTTTTTTTCTTTTAATATTATTTATAAATAAAAACCTTTTTAAATGTTTTTCCATTTGGTTGTTTCTCATCTTGAACATCGAGAATTTCTCGTACACCTAATGTTTCTTTATCAGCATAACGTTGAAGACAATAATCTGGTATATCAGCTAATGTTTTGACATGTTCATCAGGTGTAGTTCGAAGTTCAGTCTGAACTTCAACAGCTCGATATGGTGCTGAAGGATCAGAAGGATTAGTTAGTTTTGCACGAGTTCGTTTTTGTAGTCTAGATTGATCCTTATCTTTTCCTAATGTCATTATTAAATTCCAAAATGTTGGTAATTGAACAAATAATAATGTTATTAAATAAATTAATAAAGTTTTCAATAATGTAATTCCAAATCGTTTGAAAACTGTATTTAAAGTCGAGCCAAATACACAACTAAATGCTCCCGAAAACATACTAAATTAAAGAATTTGGTTTTTTTTATTTTATTTTGTTAGAATATTTTATTTAATAACATTGATCATGAGCTATTAGCAATCAAAGTCAACACGAGCTATGTTTCTTACCATTATTACAACAAATTCAAACAAAAAAAACCAATTCATTCAATATTCACATATTCTCTCAGAAAAGCATAAAAATATCCTTTTTCCTTTTCAACACAAGTTAAATTCATATCACTCACCTGATTTACTTTATCAAATCTTCAAAAAAATTTTAAAAAGAATTTATATCATTTATTTATAATGTAAATATATTGAAAAATGAAAGAAGAGAAAAAAAAAACGCAATATATATTTCTAACTAAAGCCACAGGTACATTATACACAACATCGAGAACAAAAAGACTAAAAGTGTATTACGTTTTTCCCATATCGAAGTAATAAATCATCATAAAAAAAAAAAAAAAAAAAAGAAAAGAACACAAAATAGTAATTTGCGCGTGATTTTCATCTTCGACTACCTACTTCATACATTAAGAGATAATAATTATTTGTTTGACTCAAGTATCTTCTTCTTCCATCTTCACATGATATGATTCGATAGATACTAGCGACAGAGAATCAAGGTCCCATATCATCACTTGTAGGTGTCTCTCCGTAACATAATTTAATAAAAAGTTCTATTCTAAGTAATATAAGAAAACAAACAAATATTAAATAAAAAAAATAGGTTAATGTTTACATAATGTGAATATCCTTCATATTTCATACAAGTCGAGACATAATAACTTCTAGGTCATTTTTTATCTAAAAACTTGGACAATATGATGGATGACCTTGTTTCATTTAGAGAGACGTGTTGAAAAACATGTCACCTCTATTATATTTTCTTAGTCTCTCCGAGAACAAATACATATTTTAGTTCCAATCTTGAACAATTGAATAAATTGACTGAAACCAATTGACGAACAGATCAATGAAAATCATGTGAGTTTTTAATTTTATTTTTGTTACGTAATTGTCTACCCTAGTCAATCTGTTTTAAAAAATCTTCATGAAACATTCGAGAATCTATTGACAAGCTCAATTTCTTGTTATAGTACGTATAAGAATGATCATAAACGAAATATTCTATGTTAAACATTACGAATTGTACTTATTAATAATAAAAGTTCGTTTCCATTATAAGCTAACAATAATAATACTTCATTGGATCTGATCATCTGTCATAATTATGAAAACAATATTTATAATTCATGAAATTATATTCTATACATACTTTTGTTTTCTTTAGTTTTACATTTAAAATGATTCGATTCATTGTAAATTAAAAATTCACAGCGTAAAGTAACAAAATCTACAATAGGTAAACCAATAAGCGAAATCTACATAAGTAAGTAAATTTGAATATGTTCAATGGTGTCAATAGTATTCTTTCATCTTCAGTAGAAAATTAGTTATTACTTTATTCTAGTTAATTGTTTCAAATGTGTTCATTTGTATGATTTTCATGAGTGTAGCATATGAATCACTATTAATGTATACATAACTTACGTGAATATTCAATTCAATTCAAACATGTGCATTGTAAAATAAATTAGATATTCATTTAAATTTATCTTGTTTTTGGTTGTTTATTTTCCTAGTTAAAGAAGTTCCTATCCTATTGTTTATAAATATTCGCTTGAATATATTATTTATATTTTACTTTATACAAAATAAGAAGCAAAATGCATCTATGTTTATTTTTCCACTTATTTTCTAAACTTTAGAAAAGGATTTCAAGGACAAAAAAAAAAAAGAAAACGCAGAGAATTTTCCGGATAATAGTCTATAAAATTGATTAAATTTATCGTGTTTGTAAAGATATTTGTTTAAGTTGTTGAAGACATGCTTGTAAAGTATCTTGTTCTTGTTTAGGTGTAATTGATTTTTTAACTTCATTTGTTATCCAATTAATCATATTTGTTCTTTCAAAATCTTTTCGTGCATTTTGAAGAGAAACTTGATAATCTAATCGTCTTTTAACAGCTTCATACATTTGTTTCATTCTTTCACGATATGCTGTTTCTAATATCATATTAATAATATCTTTTCGAGCGTCAGCTAATTGTCCAATATTTTTAGCACGTTCTAATGATTCTTCATATGCATGTAACATTTTTCCAGCCATGGATTTTGAATTATTAACAACTGAATTATAACGATCAACTTCTTCTTGATGCCAACCACGAAAAGCATCACCAACTGATGGACCAAGTCTATTGTAAAAAGAAAAAAAAAAATCAACATTTATTCATAAATATCTTTTGTTAAGTTCATAGAATGGATACAAAAAAAAAAAAAAAAACTTTCTAGTACAATCCTGTGAATCGAAAATCTGAAACTTATAGATTTTCTATAAACTATAAGATAATTGAATATAAATTTTTTTTTTGTTGAAATAAAATATTAGAATTGTTGATATTCAGAAGATGTTCATAACTGAAGTTTTAAATGAAAATTTTATTCAGTTATATCTTAGAATGTTAATATCGTTCTTTTTTCAACGAAAAGTATCATTATTCTGTCAATTGTAAATTTCTTTTTTTTATTTTTTAATATTAACTGTTTACTTTCATTTTCAAGTAACATCTATGAAATGAAATAGAGTCATCATTCATGATGATCAATTGTTGATCTTACTTTTTAACAACAGTAATAACTGCTGCTGCCAAAATAAGATATTCAGTAAAATCATACCATAAAACGATATATTCTTTACTAAATCCATAAATAAGTAAACCATAAAAAAACATATATGGTCCAGTAACACCAGTTTTTTCATAAAAAAATTTAAACCATGATTCAGGTATACAATACCAACGAACTGAATTTGGTGTTTCACGAAGTTTATATGGTGGAAAATTAACTAAATCACGTTCTGGCCATTGATCATGAGGCCATAAACGTTTTCCATTAAATTCCGTACGCCATTTAATTGATGATAAATCTTTTAATGAATCTTCAACTTTTAAAACTTTTTCATTACTTTTTTTTTCAACTAATGATTTATCATCTAAATAGTTTATAAAGATTATTATTATTATTGAATAATAAGAAATAAATGAATACCTGTTTTGGATTTTGATGAAGAACCTTGCAAGAAAATGCTCGAAATTGATAATGGTCGAAGTGTAAGTGATAATGGTGAAATTCCACTGGATATCAAAGGACGAACAGTTTTAGTCAACATCTGTAAAGTTAAAGACAAAAAAAAAATTTTTCTTCTACTACTCTTTTTTACATCAATTAGACGTAAATATCAACAAGTTCTTATAAAGCGACCTCTGTTCTTTAGAGTCATTGAAAACTTATTTTAATAAACTTTTTATTAAGAATTTTTTTCGAACAAATTCTTTGTTAAGAGAGAAATTAAATGAACAACAAGACAAAAACTAATAAGAATGGTTGAATAATTACCAGTCATCATCGATTGATTAATGAATCAATCAAAAATGATTCATCTTTTTGAACAAAACAGAACAGAAAAAGATTCTGTTTATAAATGTATTATTAATAAGAAATTATTTTCATTTGAAATAATAATAATAATAATAATGTTATCATGTATTGGTAAGGGTTCTTCATCCAAAGATCGAAATAATCAAAATCAAATATCTAAAGTAAGATTAAAAATTGTTGTTCATTATTTTAATATTTTAATTTTTTTAAAAGAATGACAAAGATATGAAAAAATTCGAATCAGAAAATAAAGATGATCATAATAATCAAAAAAAGAAGAAACAATCTTTATCGGTTATTAATGAACTTGTTCTTCATTTCAACATCTCTCCAAATATTAATCAATTAAATCAATCTTATTCTCCTATAGATTATTGTCCTATGATGTCTGACAATTTACATGAAAATTTTAATAATGAAGAATCATCTACAAATCAAGGTAAGTAATCTTATTTGAATTATTTTTTTTTGTTTTATCTGTTTTTTTTTTGTAAAATCTTAAGAATCATTATCTAATTGTTATTTAAATCCAACAACAGACATTGAAGTAAGAAAATTCTTTTATATTTTTTCATATGAATAATTTTCGTTCGATATTTTAAGACAAACAGTGATATAAACTATATGCAAACAAAAGTGATACAATCTCTAGTAATGAAATATCCAGTGGCTATTAATCAAAAAGATTCTGCAAAGATCAATAACAAACAGTCTTCATCATCAACAAATTTACATTCTGACAGTTATTTTTCTTTTGGTGATAAAAAACAAAATTAAATCTTTTCATTTTTCTTCTTCTAAAATAGTCAAATAATTATTAATATTCAAATTGCAACATGCTTTCCTTCTTTTCTTTTTTTTTATATTCATGGTGATATTTTTTTTTGTTTAAAATAAAAACAATAACTATTTTTCTTTTAAATAAAAATCAAAGAGACTTGTTTTTTTTTATAGAAATTAGCTAATAAATGAATTTACTTGGAATTGATGTAAGTGGTGCATGTGCAACATTTTCACGTCTTTGCTATTTTGGTGCTCCATGGTATTCAGTTATTGTTCAATGGTATCGTCAACAAAGATCCGATCATTATCGTTATCCATCATCTGATGATGATATACAAGTTGTATATGAATCAAAAAATTATATTGTTGTTAATAAAGATGATCTTGTACCAATTGATGCATATGATGCTCCATCACAAGTTAATGTAACACAACAAGTTAAAAAATGGTTTGAAAAACGTGAAATTGAAAAATTTTTAAAACAAGAATCATCACCTACTGAACAACAAACTGAACAATGGAAGAAAAATTTAGCACAAAAAATTGAAGATATTCGTTATTGTCATCGACTTGATTTAGGTAAATATTTAGAATTTAAATTAAATGAATTTTATATAAATTCTAAATATTTAAGGTACAAGTGGATGTATGTGTTTTGCTCGTTCAACAGTTTCAAGTTTTCTTGCTTATAAAGCATTTATTGATAAACGTGTTTTAAAATATTATTTAGCACTTGTTCATGGTCATCTTCATACATCTTATCCAATATTTGTTGATGTACCTATTGGAGAAAATGCTTCATGTTATGGACGAATTATGTGTACAAATGATCATCTATATTGTACAAATCCAAAATCTGCACAATCTCATATTGATGTTTTAGAACATGGTGAATATGATGGAAAACCAGCATCGAAAATACTTGTTAGAATTTTAACAGGAAAACGACATCAAATTCGTTTACATATGAAATATTTGGGTCATCCAATTATTGGAGATTATCTATATACAGAACCGATCGATTATAAACCACATAGAATTATGTTACATGCAAGATCTTTAACTATTCATACTGATCAAGAATTAATTGATGCTTTAGCAAAAGATCCTTTTCTTACACAATTTGATCCAAAATGGAAGAAAACTAAAACAACATTTCCTATTAATCGTTGGTAGTTTTTCTTTCTGCTTCAAATAATCTAACATCTAGTCTGTTATTTGTTGGTTTAATGTTTCAGTGAAAAATCAAAAATCGTATTATAGTAAATTTTTTTTTTGTTTCTTTGTCCATAAAAAAACAATTCAACAAATGATCTTTTTTCGTGATGCTTTTCTATTGAATATAATCTTTTGTCTAGCTAAGTAGAAATCAATGAGATTACAACTTTTATATATTGGCGTAAAACTATATCAAAATATTTATTTTAGTCTCTCTGAAAGAACAGCATTTTTCTATGAGTACTCGTTCACAGATGTGGTGGCATCGTGTGAGTGATAGTAAGAGTAAATATTGAACAACCACAATTGTTCAACAATTAAGAAGTCAGAAATTCAAATCTTTATTCAAATAATTTCAAAAGATATAGAAATCTCAGAATTCAGCCTAGCCAATAGCAGATGTGCAGACTCTGAAGCTGAAATGAAAAATTTCTCTTCACGAGCCGAAGTTCTCTTCAAAATTTCTTCTACTGTCAAAAAGAAAAATAATCAGTTTTTCAAACCTATTTTAATTGAATAAAACTAAGAAAGAAACAATGCTACTATGCATTTAAAATAATGTTATATAAAAAATCAATAAGTGTCATCAAAATGAGATGATGATGAGAAAGTAGAAGAAATGAGCTAACTAGTTCTCTGACACCTTCAAAATTTGCATTCTACATAACTTGTGTAATTGATAAACGAGGTTCATAAGTATTAAATTTACTGAAAAAGTCTTTTCTTTTATCTTTGGTTTTGTTGAAATGAAAACAACTTAAATTTTAATATTAAACATGTTTCAACTAGCTGCTTACTTTACTGTATATTTTTTTAATCTTTAGCTCTATTAATGTAGTAAGTATATGAATTAATATTAGACATAAAAAATGTATTATGTTTCTTGAAAACGAAGGAACAATGTTTTTATGCTTGAATACAACTCATGCAACCACATCCAATGTGAGATTATGATGCGAGAACTATACTAATATACAATTTTATTTAGTATAAGAAAATGCAGATCTATGTTTCACATATTTGTGTAATGATTTCATAGGGCTTTTCAAAAATGAAACAAGAAATAGTGTGTTAAAAATAACCCTATATTCAAGAAGCTAATCATTTGAGTTTATTACTTAGTTAATGACATCGCACAACTCCTGCAGCAGTGTTTTTTCTTTATTCTCCTTCTTGTACGATGAGAGAACGAGCAAGATAATCATGTGTTCTGAGTCATTTGCGATTTTCTTTCTTTGTTGCGTTGGCGAAGGACAAACAGCAAAGAAAGACGAGAAAGAATCATTATTCGGCGATGCACTAATCATACATGGTTCTCGTTGAATTCCTTGTTTTTTCTAATTTTTAAGAGAGATAGACTTCATTCTTTAATGTAGTTTTATCACTGTTCTTTGTCAAATATGCTGTCGAACGACAAAAAAACATTCTTGCACAAGCAACGGCAATTACGAATGAAGATGATTCATCTCAGCTTCACATCGATATATATATATATACACGCCTGTTCCTTGCCTTTGTAGTTTGTTACTGTTCACAGAACCATGGCATCATCTTTAGTGAAAATCACACCCAACTATCATGGTTATATCGATCCGAAAACAACAGTACACCATGAAAAATTTCTCATGGACATGGCGGCGCTCGGCAATATTCATCCGACTCGATTTTTCAGCATCAAGTATCAAGTATTGCCGTGTACTATGGGTACAAATACTTATCAATATAGTCAAAATAATAGTGTAGCAGGTGTTGTTCATACCACAAGGCAAGTATTTTCTAGAAATGGTTATATGTATTCAACGTAAAATCTTTGATACATGTTTGACCTCAATGGTTTATACAAGCAGATACAGACAGTGAAACTAGAGAATGACTTTTTTTCAATCGAGAAACATCTAAACTCGTCCTAATTTGATGGACCGATCCAGAGAATGTTGTTTTTAAATATTTTCATTGCAGTATCATTCAATATCTCATCGACGAGTACAAAGTTGATCCGAATGCTATGATATCGAATACGGTCTATATGCAGGAGAAGAAAATTTCTCACTATAGCGATGTGTATATTGATCTGGGTGATTATCTCTCCGTGTATCTATCGGGTGGTCACATATCTCAACCTGAAATGGACAATCCACTTGATCTGAAACCGGATACTGAGGAGAAAGCATTCTTCTGTATCACTACAATTACTGTGAGTCATTGTTGATCTATCTCTATTGATGAGTTGCTTTAATGATAATCTTTAATAGGCCTATTATATTCCGCAAACACGAGAACGAGCAGAAACTCTACTCGATCAAATATGTCGATTCAAACTTTTTCCTATTACGGAAACAAGTCTACAAATGGTTTGTTACAATCCACAATCGGGCTTCTACACATCGTCGATTTTAATCAAACGACCATTAATTAAAGAGTTACGTTTGAATTATGGTGATGGATTTCCTGAAGTTCATGAAAAACTCTTGAAGCGATTGAGCGAAGCTGATTCGACTGGCATTACTTTCTTACATGGACCACCAGTAAAATAAGGATGCAATAATCCAACATCATAAACGTATTCTTTTTCTTTTAGGGAACTGGCAAAACTTTTTATATTCGATATTTAATCAATGAAATCAAGGGGAAAAGTCTCATCTATGTTCCACCAGATTTGGTCACAGTAAGTTTTTGAATGTGATTTTATTTCATATGAATTTTTATTTCGTTTAGGAAATGACCAAACCAGGCTTTTTACCATTTCTCATGCAGTATCCGAATTCGATATTGATTATTGAAGATGCAGAAAATATAATACTTGATCGCAAAGAAAATGTCAATCCAAATCAAGCCGTTAGCAATCTATTAAATCTTAGTGATGGTCTACTCGGTGATGCAATGCATCAACAAATTATTACGACATTCAATTGTGAAATCAAAGGCATCGATCCTGCACTACTTCGTGAAGGACGTCTATTGGTTGAACACAAATTCGAGAAATTGTCGGCTGAAAATGCTCGGCGCTTGTCTGCAGAGTTGGGCATCGATGGAACTGATCAAATTCAAAATCCGATGAGCTTAGCAGAGATCTACGCAAAGAAAACATCTTCAAAATAGAGAATGCATAGTTCGTTGAACTAAACGCTTTTGAATTTTTCAATAAAACCCTGAAAATGTGAGGGAAGAAAATGGATAAGTGTCTAACGATGCTAGTATTCGTATCTGGGTGCATGGAGAGTGGTAATCTTAAGATTTGTCTCGTTTTAATTTCTTGCACTAATGATAAGTTTTTACGGAGAGATTATTAATCTTATTAGTATTGATCTTCACAATGAAGAATATGCATGTTATGGTCACGTTTATACTTCCTAGTTATAGATAATTAAGGCATGCTATATAAATACAAAATAACACTTGTGAGTGTGGGGTGTGTGAGTGTGGGTGGGTGTGGATGTGTGGGTGTGGGTGTGGGTGGGTGGATGTGGAGTGTGACTCACACTCCACATCCACCCACCCACACCCTTAGTAAAGATTATTGAATTTCAAGCTTCTACAAAAGAAATTGATGTGACATTCCTATAGATTTTCTTGAAAACATAGTATATATTTTATAGAATTAGCATTGTATATTTTTCTTTATTGTAATCAAATTTTTTTTTCTACGTATAAATATGGAATCAAACTATCAATATAATTCGACCCAAAAAAAAATAAATCATCAATCCAACACTATTTTTTCTAATTGAATCGATTTCTTTTTCAGGTGTAAATATAGATAAAATTGGTACATGTTCTAAATGAACACTCTACTTTAATTTTAGGCTTCAGTGAAGAACATGAATTCTTAGATCATTATATTCTTAGACAGTTCATGCTCTCTTTTTCGTTCATGACAAATAACCCGTTCAATCAAAAAAATAACATTTTCTCTGAATATATATAGTCATTTTTTATGCGATCTAAAATTACTGACAAACACACTTGTCAGTGCGGTCCCATAAAGAGCTGAAGTTTGGAACTCACAAACTCTGACAGTTATAAATCTATGATATATTTTCAGAGGTTTTAAAGTAATTTATTTAAAAAAAAAAGGCAAATAAATGAATAAATCAAAATTCTAATAATTTTTATAGTTGATACGTGCGCCTTAAAATTTTTATCATTTCGAAAATATTGACATTTATAATTAATTATTTTATTCGATTCACTTAACGTCGTTATACTGTAAAAACTTATTTGTATTGTCAGATACATCTCCAATATATCATTTCTATATTAGAATTCTATTAGTACATATTTTTATATGTCTGTTCTATTCTGACTATGCTCGATCAAAATTATGACCGGTCCATTGATTCACATCTACAATAAAATCTTTTAGCTACATGCAAAACTAAAATTCGCAATATTTAAACTAAACAGTTAGGATCTAAAGAGTTTCAGAATGATTGAACCGCTGATATTACTTATGCACCATTTTCCGTAGCTAGGAAAATATATCTAATAATCTTTGGCTTACTAAGGTCTGTTATGGGAGAGCTAGAGAAACCTAAAAAAATTCAATTTAAACTTACACTCGATATTATTTTCTTCGAAAACAAATGAGACTTTCACAAAACTAAAATGGAATTGAAACAATTCAAATCGAAGTATACACAGAAACTTTTTTTTTTGTAGAACATCCAAACAAAAAGTCACTTGTATCTAAATGTTTAACTGATTATTCCTGTGGTTTTTTTTCTGCATCATTATGTTTACCTTGAACGAATTCATTAATTGTTAAAAAATCGAAATTATCCTGAAATATAAAACATCAGGTGAACAAATTGCTAAATGACAATCCAATGGACAATATTATATTTCCGTAGTTATATTTGGTTGTTTAAATAAATCAAGCAATATTTGATATTTATCAAGATATTCATTTGAATAATCATATACACGATGTGTATTATTATCACGTAAAACAAATACATGTTGATCATCCGTATATGATGAATGTTCAAAATGATTTGAATTTAATTGAAGATAAACAAGTGTCATTATGCAACTTTTATCTTGTCTTATATTTTCTTTATGAATATAAAATAAACTATTTAATTTTTCACTTGTTAACAATGTACCATTACCATATAGTAATATAAAATTATGATTTATTATATTTTCTTTTTCCAGATTTCTTAAACAATCACCAAGTGAACGTGCTATTCTTTATATGGAATTAATTTAATGAATTTTGAATAAGTTCGTAACCATTGACTATTTATTATATATGAACAAATCTCATTTGAATATGATGTTGTTAATAAAATAATTTCTTGTATATTTGATTCTATTAATGTATGAATTGTATAATCAAGCAATGGTCGACCATTAATCGGCCATAAACATAATAGAAGTGATATATGAAAAACAATTTCATTTATATAGATGTTAAATGTATCAAGTTACAAGTACACATGTTAATCGTTCTTCTTCACAATAATCAACATTTATGTCTGTTGGTTCAATCATATCTGAAAAAATAACAAATAAACTGTATTTTTTGAATGCCTAGAAATGTGAATATTTATTCAATAGCTCTAGATGACGAAAGATAGAAATAGAGTATGATGCAATATTTTTCAAAATTAACCTAAAAAAAAATCCCTTCTCAGATAAATGCGTCACTTGTATTGACATTTTATTGGTTGAGATAATCTACATAAACTTTGAGCTACATACACGAAAAAGCCATTGCATTTATAGATTACAGTTACCTCTCCATTAAAAAAGAGGACGTTGAAAAACAGTCGAACTCACAATGACATGTATATGAATGAGGAGCGTGCCCATTGTACCGTTTGGTTTGGAACAGAAAAACGCTTATAAATCGAGTTCTATTCAACCGATTTTGATATTTTTTCTTTATTTTACTAGTATAATAGTAGCCATTCACTTCTGAAATAATCAAGTTTTTAGCTGTTTTACTTTCCAAGAAATTTTAGCAACAATACAAATACCTAGCTTTTCGACTCTATCTATCACAAGTAAATCAAATTTTTTTATTACATTGTGGTTTTTTTTTCAATTGTTTTTGTAATTAGACTTGTAGAACTCGTCGCGAGCTTTCAGAATATGTCATTGGTATTAGCTCTAGACAATGTTTTATGGATGGGAAACTATCGAGAATAGACATTAAGACACTTTTCATATTTGTGCAGAGCGAGATTAAAATCAATGACTTTCAATTTCAAGAAACTTTATTTGAACAAATTTGATCAAATATGAAAGAGAGAGGAGGGGAAAACAATTTGACTAGCAAAAGAAGGTTGTTTCATATACTTGGTTAATACAAAATTTTTATACAAAGTTCAAAAAAAGCTATTTTCACACAAAATGTAGAGCAAGATTTTTAATTTTGTTATTGCTATAACTCAATGAAAACTAGTCCGTTTGTAACAAAAATTTGATCCTTTTTCCATCTCATAAAGTAGAGTAACACCCCAAAAAATCAAGCAAAAATCTTTCCCTACTCAAAAGAAAACTCAGTTTTACTAAGAATGTGTAGAGCGAGATTTTTATGATAAAAGCGTAGAGCGACATTAAAGCCATTGGTATTTCGTTCAAAGAAACTTCATTCGAACCAATTTGAATGGATATAAAAGAGAACTATGAGGAAAGTAATTTGAGAAGTAAAAGAGATTTGTTTCATAAACTTTGTTAATAAAAAGATTTTACACAAAGTTTACAAAAGGATGGTTACACTATATGTAGAACGACTTTTTAGCTGGTGATATTGTGAATCTTCACCGTACCACAGGGAAGTATAGAGAAAATAGTATTTTCATATACATTCGACATAGCTTTGTCAAATACAATACCTAGTTTTTTCCTATCGTTAAATTTATTTTTATCAATTTATTTTTCACAAACGGTACAATGAACGCGTTCTTCACTCATATATATTCACAAGTGAAGGAAAGAAACAGAACGTAAATAAATTTCGTTTAATAGCTTTGAATTCAATTTGACATGATTTGACTTTCATCATAAATCGTAAGATATCACAGATGTGACGAATATATACGATCTCTTGTGAAAACTTTTGGTAAAATTTAGAAAAAATCAATATTATTGAATTCATTTTTGCATATATGAAGAAGTTATATGATTTGGTAGTTGTCGCCAAAAAAAAATAAAACACGGTCTAGTCCCTTATTTAGTTTGATCTTCCACGGTAAGGGTGTGGGTGTGCGTCTTCTCTTCAAACTCAGTCACACCTATACTCACATCCCATACACACACCCACACCCACACCCACTCCCACACCCTACACCCCACACCCCACACCCCACACCCCACACACTCACACCCACACATCCACCCACACCCCACATCTACCCACCCACACCCACACTCAACTACTTCTAATAAAAGAAGCCAAGAAGAAGTATCAAGTTTTGCATGTACAACCTACTCTCAAGACTTAGCTTGCCTCTATCTTCAGAATTTATATTACGCATAAATATATCCAATCGATGATGTGATTTCATTAAACTCGAACAACATCACATCTGCAAAAGTAGCATCAATTACAAAGTTTGCTCGCACAACATGATTAAATTTGAAATAAACACACGGAAACAATATAGAAAACTTTATTTGGAACACGTTCAAGTCAAAAAGTCATGAAGTTTCTATTACGTTTTATCTTCTCAAATATAATTCTCTCCCGTTCATAACTCAATCAATCATCAAAAATCTTTTTCAAAAGAAGAATCATTTGGTAAATCCAGCTGATATATTTCTACACTCTCGTATGAATCGTATTGAACCGACTAGTGATAATCTCATCACAGAAGATGTACGAAGAAAATCGCCAAAGCTTAGATATTTTAGCTTGACATTCTATGAATTTGTGACAATTATTATCACCATCACAACTCCTGTTGCTATCGGTATTTATACGGCTCTAACAACCCATCACCAGGCAAAAGCAGATGCACATCAATTAGAGGGACAAAATCGAATTGCTACAGAACGTCGTGAATTCGATTTGAAATTGGCAGCTGAAATGAGACAGCAACAAGTCTATGATCAATTTATCGATGATGTTTATACTTTACACAAAGATGATGAGTTAAACGAATCAGCTCATCCATGGGCATTTGCTAATGCACGATATCGTGTGGCACATCTTCAATGGGATGCTACACGAAAGTCGCTTGCTCTCCAGTTTATGAAAGAAAAACAATTGATCGGTCGGAACAAGTGTCCGACTGGTTGTGAAAAAAAAGATTTGGAAGATATCATTCGACTGAATGAATTAAACTTTGATTATATTAATTTAACAAGTCAAACGGACACATTGAGTAAAATGAATTTGAAATGTATTGGTTTTGATCAAGTTTGTCTAAGCAATGCCACTTTTACAAATATCAATTTGAATGGAGCTTCATTCGATGGTTCTCGATTGAATGGTGTAAAATTTACTGGATCTTCACTTGTTTGTGCAACGTTTAATGAAACAGAACTAAATGATGTTGACTTTGGTGATTCAGATTTAGAACAAGTTCAATTCATTAATGTCAACCTGACAACAGCAAAACTGAATGAAAAACAAAGACAGCAGATTTCAGCGAAAAGTACAGTTACACCACATGAAACAGTTGGGACAACGACAATGAAAACCAAATCGACAAAAGGTGGAAACAGATTTTGTTCTTCTTAAGATGATATCATAGTTTTCCTTCTCACATTCTAGGATTTTCCATGAGTTCATCTCAAAGCAGTGAAACGTTCTCAGCAATGCCAGTCATCTACACTGAGTCATCATCGACAAGCTCAGTGATAGCAACGAACACAGGTTAGATTCAAAGGTTTTTTTGTGTGGAATATATCTGCATGAAATTTTGAATATTAGAAAGAATATATTTATTCAATATTTAATATTGTATAGGGTGGCTAACAATGTTTTTCCAGGGGCTAACACTATAATTTCAAATAGAGTCAGTAATGGATTTTAGACCAAATTAAAGCGCGTCGAAAATGGGATTTTTTTTGATACTAAATTGTAAGAGTTATCAAAACCTTTTGATGTCGAACTTAAGAAATTTTATGCATTTTTGGCATAGAAAACTAGGGCGTCAGTGATTTAAAAATGGATTCTAGTATTTTCTTTTGATATTTTTATATGGCTCAATAGAGCTCGTCGAGATCTACAAAACTGTATATATTAAAAAATTTTTAAGCCAGCTTTTTGAGATAAATAAATTAAAAAACCACTTGGAAAATGCTAAAAAATGTTAAAAAACTCGTTTTTTCAATAAAAATAGCTTTTTTCCATATTTTCACTAATAGAGACATTTCGAAATGTAATCATTAGACGCAGTTTTTCGCGCTGTATCCGGTGGTTATATTTCGAAATGTCTCTATTAGTGAAAATATGGAAAAACGCTATTTTTATTGAAAAAACGAGTTTTTTAACATTTTTTAGCATTTTCCAAGTGGTTTTTTAATTTATTTATCTCAAAAAGCTGGCTTAAAAATTTTTTAATATATACAGTTTTGTAGATCTCGACGAGCTCTATTGAGCCATGTAAAAATATCAAAAGAAAATACTATATAGAATCCATTTTTAAATCACTGACGCCCTAGTTTTCTATGCCAAAAATGCATAAAATTTCTTAAGTTCGACATCAAAAGGTTTTGATAACTCTTACAATTTAGTATCAAAAAAATCCCATTTTCGACGCGCTTTAATTTTGTCTAAAATCCATTACTGACTCTATTTGAAATTATAGTGTTAGCCCCTGGAAAAACATTGTTAGCCACCCTGTATAACAAAATTCAAATCGGTTAATGTAAAGTCAGCAGTGAAGAATCAGCCCATAGAACTTTCATCCAATAGGTGATAGAAAAGATTCAGTAGTCAAAACTGTAGTTATTTCATCAAAAAATCGTATGAACTAGCTACAATCTTGATATTTTCTATCTTTTTGGTCATCCATTAGGATATTAGCACAAACAAAAACCTTTTAACCAAAAATGGGCTTCTGAAATACTTGATCCTTTTTGTGGCGCATAGTTCGGTTAAGGAATTTCCTAGAAAATATCACTATTAGATACGAAAAGACAGTGAAATCAGCTATATAGAATCTGATAGAATACTTCTTTTATTATGACTTAGGAAAAGCTTCAGTTTAATGAAACTTATTTTGACGTCAGCTCAATCCATAGCAATGCGTTGTTTTTCATTCAAGCCAGCATAGCAAGAATGTTGTCGAACATTAAAGGCGAAGTTCTTGTATATTGTATTTTCTAATAGTCTAGGAAGCCATCAACTTTGTTACTGATGATTGATCCATGTGTTGACAAATTTTGTGATGAAAGATTCATTTATGAATAGTAAAGTTCAATATGTGTATAGGTGCCATGCTGTCTCCATCATTTTTTTCTCCTAATAAAGCATGTTATCTATTTGCCTTCATGATTTGAGAACATTGTGCAACCAGACAGACATGAACTCAACTTCTGTTTTGTAAAGATTTAATATTGGATTCGCTACGTGTATGGTTAGTCTGTTTTACTTAAAAATAGGATTTTAAAAAATTAACTTGAATTCTGGGAAAGCCCATATAGCTCTGCACATATTATAAGCCCTTGAGGACTTCTATTAGATCCCAAGATTTTTCAAAGAATTTAGGTGCAAAATTTGTTGAAAATGTTTTGAGGGTTGTTCAAAGAATTTTGCATCGAGTTTTGAGATTTTCATGCTGATAATTGAAAATCACATAAATTTTCACTTTAAAATCTTCAAATTGTTGCTGGTTATGTTTTCAGAATTACCAAGAAAAGTTTTTTAAAAATTTCCAGAATTTCTTAAAATAAAAGAAGGCTTTTAATACGTTGTATACGACAAGCTCTACAAGGTGGGCTTCGACTATGAGATCTCAGAAGAATAGTTAGTCCATCAACTTTGCGTCTTTTTTTAAGAGGCCAAATTGTGAATCATAATATTTTATTTGTAGACACATCTATGGGTACAACAAGTGAAAGTGAAACACAGCAAACAATAGAGCATATGTCGACAAAGACGTCAGAGTACAACATTGTACATACAACTACCGTTGCAAAAGCAGGTATGTTTATGGTCGACTATTGAGGTCTAGTAGAAACTGGTGAATCATTTTGAAAGAAGTAAGCCATGACGGCCTATCGAAAACGAACAAGATGCAAAACATTTCTGCCAGATTATCGTAGAAAAGTGGAATTTTTCCATGAAAAACTCATCCTGCTGATGTTTCCTACATTTCCGATCTAAGCAGACTCGATTTTCAATGCAAAGCTACTATTAAGACCTTTGAACACTAATTCTCAATGATTTCGTCGAAATATCAGAATCTTGAAATTGGAGCAATGCACTGGAAGAATACCAGCTCATTTCGGCGGTGCTCCCTGACAAAAGCGACGCAAGTCTGGCTCTTCAGACACTAGCTCCTGCTGTGAGACTTCTAGCAGCTGAAAATTGGTTCTATTGCAGAAGAACGAGCGAAGAATTACCGTATATTTTTATAAACAGCTAGACACTGGTAAATATCTTTGATTGTTTTTTTCATTGAAGTGTATAGAACATGCAAGACAGAGAGAGGTACTCATAATAATTAAATTACACATGTTTGTGTGCATTTTTATGTGAATGTCTACAACTACAGTTCCTCCCAAACTTATCCAACCAGGTATATTTCGCTTTCTTCTCAGAGCTTTAAACACTAAAAGAGTTTATATAGCTATTTAAATTTAACTTAACCAAGAAGAATAGTAGAAAAAGCATATGTTATAACACCGAACATGTTCAAGCATTATATAATGCATTTCGGTCGAAATACATCAGTTTAATAAATGACTTAGTATTTTTTTGGCAATTCCTATGTCTTACTAGCAATCAATGTCTCTCGATCATTCTACTTGTTTAACTAAATTTTTTCCGTAACGTATAGATGTTGGAAAACTAAACATTTGATTTCGATATTCCTTGTGAATCTATTTTAAACTAAATCATCTTTGATTTGATCTGGAATAAATTCGCAAGAAATACAAACTAATTAGTATGATAATAATATATGATTGAAATAATAATGAAGTAGTCTTAATTAATCCTTAAATATACTTGAAGTATTGAATCATCTCTTTTTCCTATTAACAGTTTAAATACATTATTACACATTCGAGATTTTAATTGAACGATCTATTTGAACGAAAAAGCGACAAATGTATACTTTAACATTTCTTCAAAGAAGTTCTTATAATAATTTCTTAGTTGTTTCAGTTTGTTTTCGTCCTTTATCGTCGTCATAACCACTAGGTCACATGAGAAAAATATTTCAAACTAGCAGTATTAACACCGACAATTCTTAATTGAAATGAAAAAAAATAAAGTATGAATACAGCAAATGGAAGCTAAAAAGAAACGAAAAAAGTTCAAGTATTAAAAACGCAAGAAGAAAAGTGTTTTAACATTTTAAAATACTTATGATCAGGATATAGAAATTTGAGAAGTATTCAGAAATAGATTATTTGTTCGTTATGTTCAACAGTTGTGGAGATCGCACATGATGTAAACCTCAAGGACGTCTGCCACCAGTAAACAAATATTCGTCGTTATCTGCACTGTCTTCGCTATTGTTGAATCATTTATAGCGTAGTGTAGAGCATGTCATAGAAACAACTAGGGCAAAAGAAGCTCATCACAATTCGAACGGAAGGTTTTCATTTTTTTTCGTTACATTACATTACTTGCTTTCCTTGATTGTTATTGTCCGATTTCCTCATAGAAGCCAGCACTAAGTCTTCAAATATCGCAAGCAGCCGCTTCCTTTTTTAAGCTTGTGACCTATTAGTTTGTACTTCAACTTGTTTGTTATTTTTTGTCTCAGTCCAGAGCATTTGTCAAAAGATGAATGCCGACGAAAATGAACTTGCAGAACTACTGTCTAATGACTTTGAATCGTGGTGAATGTGTTGATAATTTTTCATTAACATTCCTATAGTACGATAATATTAATGAGTTAAAAATTATTCGGGCCACGACGACTACGTTGAAAGGATTCACACAGTCTGTCGTGAGCCAGCTACATCTAGACAAACAAAGTAGGTATGTTTGGAATTCAGATGGAATATCTCAGTAAAAAAAGAAGAAAACATAGTAACATATTAGTGATTAGAAAAAGTGGCGATTTCAATAGATGAATAGTGCTGGAGAAATTGCATCTGATGAATACTAGAAGGACACTCGCCACCTCTCTCACAGATAGATAGTTGATTAATCAAACTCATAAAAATGTATTCTTGCTTCTTCTATTTAACAATCGCTTGTATAAGAAGATGAGCTGTAATTGTATTTCTTGGTTGTTAATATGATCAGTATAAAAAAGTTGATCAGAATGGAAAAGTTCTCAATTTTGCTGCATATATACTATTGAATGTATTTTTTCAATGCAGATTCTTTCTGCATAGATATTCATCGTTTATTTATTTGAAGGAAACAAATTAAGTCACATTGTAAAACATACTCTTTTTTCGTCATGATTTCACACTCAAACACTTACGATATTATTCATATTAATATCTCATTATTTGTTAAATAAGACACTATCATTTTAACACGAAATAGTGCATATGAATATTGTAAGATTGAGATAATTGTTCATTACAGCCTTCGACAAAATATCTCTGCTAATACTATTTATTTCTAATGGACATTTTTATTTTAGCGATACCACTTCGTGGAAGTGCGATTGATATTTCTCCGAATGCAACGTGGAAACAGAATGGTACGACTGTGGCTGGAGGAAATAAAAACGGCAATGAAACGAATCAATTCTATCTCCCAGTCGGTTTGTATGTCGATGATAATCAAACGATTTATATCACTGATACAGATAATCACCGTATTATAGAATGGAAATATGGTGCGGAGAGTGGTAAAGTAGTTGCTGGTGGCAATGGAGGAGGAAATGAATCTAATCTATTAAACGGTCCATGGGATGTAATTGTCGACAAAGCGAGAGATAGTCTCATCATCTCCGATACAGGGAATAGAAGAGTAGTTCGATGGTCTCGTCAAAATGGTGGTAATACTAGTGGAGAAACAATCATTTCTAACATCGATTGTATAGGATTGACAATGAACGAGAATGGATTTCTTTATGTTGTTGACGGGAGAAATAATACAGTGAGACAATATCGAATGGATGGTAGTGATGAAAGGGTGGTTGCAGGTGGAAATGGACAAGGAAATGGTCTCAATCAACTCTATTATCCTCGATACGTATTTGTCGATCAAGATCATTCAGTGTACGTGTCAGATTATAAAAATCATCGTGTGATGAAATGGGAAGAAGGTGCACAAGAAGGGATTGTTGTAGCTGGTGGAAATGGGAGAGGAAGTAATCTTACACAAGTGTATGATCCTTGTGGAGTGATTGTCGATCAGTTGGGTACTGTGTATGTGGCTGAAGAATACAATCATCGAATAATGCGATGGACAAAAGGAAGTACAGAGGGAAGTGTTATTGCTGGTGGAAATGGTAAAGGAGAACAGTCGAATCAATTAAAAAATCCTGTTGGTTTATCATTCGATCGACAGGGTAATCTCTATGTCGCCGATAAGCACAATCATCGAGTGCAAAAATTTGAAATCGAATAGGCAGCAAATTAATGATGTTTATTTGTTTGTTGTTTGTGATTGCAAATGATTTTCATTGAATAAAAAGAATATTGATTCTCTCCTATTCAATCATTCAATATATTAAATATTCGCGCGCGATCAGAAAACCGTCCATTGTGGTAGGAGTGGCGGTCGCGTAGCCATGCACGAACAGGACAAGCTCATACGTAGACATGCACCAACATACACGGGTGTGAACTTGATAAAGCCTGTCGTGTTGCCACTGCCACCAGTTAGCTTTTTTGGTTGAGAAAGAGTACAAAAACTCTTCTCAACAGGACCACAACAACAATAACACAGAAGAAGTAATACTCTTCATTTTATTCAAATGATTATCTAAGAATGATTCATGGCCTCTGAATTATTATTAAACAATCATTTCAATAAAATCAAGGATATAAAAGAGAAGATAGAAGAAAAGATTATTTACCTCTTGATTGCTTGTTACCCGGGAAACCATTCTCGCCTTGGTCATCTCTATTTATACTTGTGGATAATGTCATTGCATCATCCTATTGCATTATCTTCTTTTTTTTCCTCTGCTTTACAAAAAAACACTTTTTCACGCAAAATTTTCGATGGTATCGATCGATTTTCATGAATTAATGCGTTTTTCATATTATTTCCATTAAAATTGAAACATTAACTACAAAAATATGCGATTGACTAATGGATATACATCGTTTTTCTTTTCTGGTTTTGATGATTTGGGTGTGGGTGTGGTGTGTGGGTGGGTGTGAGTTAGGAGAGGAATGACACCCACACCCTCTTTTTTTTAATATCATGTCAAAAACCTCTATTTTCGTGAAAAAGACCGCTGATTCCATATAAAAAATGCACATAAATTTGTTTCCAAGGATCTCAATAGAAATTGCATCAAATTTTATAGGAGGTAGGGTATTTTTTTCTTGTGGTAAGTTATTTTTAAAAAATTTCAAAACATGGTTTCACGAAATGCGTAAAAGGAGAGTGTGGGTGTGGGTGTGGGGTGTGGGTGTGGGTGGGTGTGGGTGTGGGTATGGGGTATGGGTGTGGGTGTAAGTGTGTGGATTAAGAAAAGAACAATACTCACATCCAACCACACCCCACACCCACCCGCCCACACCCACGCCCCACACCCACACACACCCACACCCACACCCATTTTTCAATCACTTAATAGGTTGTATCAAAAAAACAAAATATATCACTAGATACAGCGTGAAAAGCTCTATAATTTACGTAAGACCGCTTATTTTATAGTTGCACTTTTTGTTCTCATAATGAGCAAAATTTTGAGCGTCCAATTTTCGACCTTGCAAAAACGATATATTTTTTTGATACAAGATGAATTCATTTTTTCTTATTTCATCTTTTTATCACTTGATATCTTTTATGTATAAAAAACAAAATGCATCAAAAGATGCAGCGTGAAAAGCTCTACAATCTGTATAAGATTGCTTATTTTAATTGCGTACTTCTTGTTGTCCCAAAAAAGTAAAATTCTCTCGCACTATCCCGAAAAACATCATCGTTTTCTATACGAAGAGCAATTCCTTGTTTCTTATCTGAAATATAAAGTAAACTGTTCTTTAAAAATTGTAGAGCTTTTCACGCTGCATTTAGTGGTATATTTTGTTTTTTAATACAATCTATTAAGTGATTGAAAAATGAAATGCAAAAAGGACAAAGTGTAACTATTTAATCGGTCACACATATTAGTGAAGTTGTATACAAACGTAGTTCTTATCGAAATTTTATTATTATGATATTAGTTGAAGAGTGATCAAATAGTACAGAAAAATAGAGCGTCGTTTTCTCTATGACTACATAAAAAAAGAAAATCTATTCAAGTTATCTACTAAAGAAATAAGATAATGACGCCACTACTTTTGGTATGCCCTATGTATATCCATCATTAGACAATAATGGGATGACTTTAATTTGATAGAACTATTCCATTTCAGATTCAAATTGAACCTGGCATTGAATCATTTCTTGAAATATTTTACAGTCGATCAACATCAAATGATGGTTAAATAAAAATATTATCAATACTACCAAATATGAAATTATTGTCGAGCACTCTTATTTGACCAATATTTTCCCTTGATGAAGATGCATCAATAGATGAAGTCATTTTGAATTAAGAGATTTATATATTTTTTATCTATGATGTCGTACATGTATCATGACAACGCACCAACATGAATTGTATTTAGTAATAGAAAACTTCTCACAAAACGTCGCTAGTCATTAGACTTATTTGAAAATATCATAGAAATCTTCATTTCAAATTATAAATGTAATTAAAATATTCAATAATCGCCGGGATAGCTCAGTTGGGAGAGCGTCAGACTGAAGATCTGAAGGTCCCTGGTTCGATCCCGGGTCACGGCACTTTTCTTTTTCTTATTTCACATCACAAGATATTAATCAGTTGTTACCAACAAGAATGACTATACGAATGAAAAAGTTAATTTTTTTTTCAAATTTGAGACAATCTTATTTGTTCTGTTTCCGATGCTAATTCATGCATGAAAGAGTTCAAAAATATTCAAAGTAATCACGAGATTTTCATACTCAGTATGACAATCACGTTAATTATTAAAGCATTATATGTTGGAAGCATAAGGTTTAAATACACAACAATTACAATACATGAGATAAGCAAGATTTTTTCTTATTTTTCCTCATTATAGGAAGCTTAGATATATTCGATGCTAGTTTTAATACTATAACTTTGTAATTCATACAAGAAAAAACATCAATCTTTTATCGATCTTTATGCAAAGCAAATTATTTACTATTATTCAAAGATAGTTTTTTTTTTTTATACAGGTGAGGCAAAAATTCAGCATTATTTTTGTTTTTCGTATAAAGTAAAGTTTCCTATAGGATATTCAAGTCAAATATGGTTTTCACTTTTTTCAACGTCGAATTGAGTTTTTAATTAAAAATATGTCTTATTGAGTCTTTTTTGTAGACTAAAGGATTACTTTCATAATATTTAGAATCATTTCACTACTATGAGAAGCTGTGTGTATATGATGCTGAAAAACATCTCACTAATGGCAAAGTTCAAAGAAATATATTTTAATAAACAAATTGTGATTGAAGTTGTAGAAGCATTTCTTCATGCATTTTTTTTCAAAGATATTTCTACTTGAAACTTAGCTCTTTTTGACACAAACAGGATCAAGTCTCTACAATATTGTATTGAAATACTATACCAAAAAACCAATTTATTACAGAGCTTTCGCCTCGTCAGTTACATAGTTTTTTTTTCATTGAAGTAATCAAGAATCTTTTTTACCTACCTAGAGATAAGGATATTTTGATAGAAGACATCTATCTATTCGAAATAGTCTAAATCCAGCTTTATTTTTTTATAAATTAAGAAAAATAGAAGGCTGAAAATTCATATTCTAAGTAGACTCGTCATATTAGAAAAAAAAATTTCGACTATATGTCATGCAATACAATAAGATATCTTATTCCTTGTTGTCCAATTTACAATTTTTGTAGAATAAATACAATTATTGAATTATATTATTAACATAGCGTGTTTTATAAGTAACGACCCCTATTCAAAGATGGGCAAATATTGAATATATATATTTGTAGAGTAACATCTAAGCCATCATTGAACAAAAATTACACTCAATTTGTATAGGAACCTTGGAAAGTGCTCCATTGGTTATAATGTTGAAAAACTTTTATCAAAGGTAAGTTTTACCCAACCGATGTTTTTGTGAATATCTCTGGCAGTTTTTGATGCTTTGATTTGAATTTTTTCCAAAAGATAGTCTTTGATATTCTCTAAGAGGTCCAAGAAAAATATCTTTTCAAAAGAATAGCTTAAAGCAGTGTAAAACCTGTTTAGTCAGAAGAAGCAAAATAATTTTTTTTGTAAGAAAAAAGTGTCTGTAAAAGTACGCCTTTCTGAAGTGCAGTACTGCAAATCAGATATGGTTTTTCGAATATTCCTTTGAAGAGCTGTATTCTTCGGACTTTCTAGGGAACTTCACAGACTATCTTTCGGAAAAAATTCAAGTCAAAGCATATTCACAAAACACTGAGTGCATAATTCCATACAGAATGAAATATTGAAAAACTTTTATGAAAATTTTTCAATATTTTTATCAATATGACACTTTCCTACGATTGATACAAATTGAGTGTGATTTCTGTTGGATAATAACTTAGATATTACTCTTCAAATATATTTATTCAATATCTCCTCATCTTTAAATATATCAAAGATATAAAAAAAAAATATGCGCTGGATTGAGCAAACTCAAGAAAAATTTAGAATCATTACACAGATAAACCATTTACAAAAACTAATAACATTGTTAGCAGCTACATAATTGAACTTTAATAGCCAGATTGCATTCCATATTTTGCTACTCTGATTTCTTTTATCTAATGATGCCATTCAATTCGATAATAGTTGCTTTTTTTAACAATGATGTTAAATTAATTTGTGAATCATCAATCGATGATTGATACATAAAAGAGTCAGCTGTGTAAAATTTCTCACAGCAGGACACTTCGAACACCAGACTATGCCAATCGATTATTCAACCTGCAGTCTATATTTATTGAAGGCTTCAAATCGAATCTTTGAAGTGTTAATGAGTACTTATATCTAGATACATACATATCATGTTCCAAACGAACATGAGAGTTATATAGTAATAGTAACGTGTCTGCTCATTGTTTTTTTTTAAATATCTGGAGAAATGAAAAAGAAATCGGCATGAAGTTTTGATTGATAATGGCAGCTCAAAGTAAGTGCTACAAAGAACGATCTAATTATTATTATGTTATTTAAGAGGTAAACTTTGCTAAACAAGAGAACTTGACTTTTTTGTAGATACCATTGTTTTTGTATTCAAAATTGAGTTAACAGATTTCTTTCAGAGAAAAACACAATATGAGTCAAAGCTAATAATATATTTCTAAGATATGGGCATCAATGATGAGTCAGAGAATAAAAAGAACACCTGCATCTCATCCTTCATGGACTGCTCACTTTCTCTTTCCTTTTCTTCGAATGTGCGAGTATAAAAGAGAATCTAATCTTTCTTTTATTTTGATGGAAGAGGATCTATTTTTAAAGAGAGTGCGGAGTTAAAATCTTCTCTTCATTAGTCTAACTCATACCCACCTTCATATAATTGTGCCATTGAAACCGACTAAGCCCATAGCAACTAGTCAAAGAATCCATCGCTATAGATTGTAAAAAACAATTTTTTTGAAAAGTTTTAGTTTTTCATTAAATACATGCATATAAGTGTACAATAGATCATAGAAGGCAATTAAACCTTCGGCACAAAACATATTGCTTCATAAACTCTTATTTTTGACCATAATCTTTACAATACGTTCCACTTGTAACTCAATATTCAATACTTTTTAATGCGAATGATAGTCAAAGTTTTATTTGAATTATATACTTTTGCTTAAGATTCTGTTCAACACAGATCACTTGAAAAGAAACTCCAGCTGGCAAAAGAACTTCTTCTTCATTAGGAAATTGTGAAATTTCAACCACATCGTATGCACGCGGGGCACTTAGCTTGGCATTTGTAATTTCAATGATAAACAATGTATTTCCTCGAAATTCAGCCATTTCTCTATTTTTACTCGTTGATGTATAACTAGGCCATGTACGCCATGAACCTACTGCTTGTTTATAAGAGAAAATTGTTGTCAGCGATAGTTGTACTCCTCGATAAACTGTCCCAATAAATTCTGTACACGTACGTGAATAATCACGAATAAGGAAGCAAAGTGGTCCGAGAGTATCTAATTTCGAATGATCTGCTTCACGTAAAGCAGTATTTAAAACATGATAAAGAAAACTTTCACGAGTATATAAATGAATGCAAACTTTTGATGTTTCACGTCTAGGCTTCATTTTACATGATCGCAATTGTTCAACCATCCATTGTGCTTCTGTTTCACTATCACTTTGATGCTTTACTGCTTCTTGTAGAATTCCATCTATACAAGCATCAATAGCTGAAGGAAAATCTAGTACAGCTTTTCTACCAGCTGACGATTTGAGCCATTCAGTAAGGAATGGACACCATGCTAACGCTTTTCCATATGATGGTGTTGACGTAAGAAGAGGTGAAGAATTGAAGCGTTCTTCTCGTAAACATTCTTGTATTTTACAGCCTATTTGACGTCGTACAGGACGCTGTTGTGATGAATTAGTTCGATTGAATTGAATGAACTCTTTCAAATCAATTCGATATTTATCCAGAAGAACTTCAGGTTTTTCTTGTTGATAAGCTTCTTCAATAATTTGCATTTCAATATCTCGGTATTTAACCCATTCAATGTTAGAATTATCATTCCATACATCTCCATTTTTGAAGTACCAAAACACTATGGTGCTATCGCTTGTATTCATGTATTATATCGTACTCTTTTTTTTCTCTACATACACTTTTTGCTAATCATCATATAACGCTTTCGTTTAAAAAAAAATCTTTCTTATGACCATGAAAAAGAAAAATATCAATACTACGTCATTATATATTTTATTAAATCAATGTGGCATTTTTCTCTGCTCTTATCAACTTTCTTTTTTTGTCTACCAAAAGCACTATGTATTAAGAAGAACGTAATTTAATATTCACTTGCATCATATAGAAAACACACATAAATATGAATACTTGTAGTTTTACATTCATTAGACTTCGCAATTATTTGCCATGTCGAGTAATGGGTATTGAGCGAACATGGGACTATTTGAAACATGAATTTGATCGAGAAGGTAATGGTTTACCAGATCCTACAGCAAGATATTTTGAAACAATAGGACCTGGACCTCAGTTATTTGCTGTTGTTACTCCTTCGGTTTACTATCATGATCAACGACAATGGTTTAAATACAAAAGTTCATATGATATTGTTTTTGACATAATAGATATTCCAGACTGAAAGATAGATTAGCGACACTTTTTTTGAAATATTTTTTTTTTTGTAAATATCGTCTTAATATCAATAATTATATCACATATACTAGAGAACACAGATCTGATATTTTTCATTTTGTCCAACCCACAATACTTGAATTTTCTAGATTTCCTCATGTCTGTGTTAATGTAAAAGTGATGAGACGACTAATCGTGGTTGTCGGAGCGGATGGTCGACAAGGTAGCAGTGTAATCGAAGCACTACTTGAATATTCAGACCATTGGCACATTCGAGGAATCACTGAAGACTTAACATCAACGAATAGTCAGGTAATCTCTTTCATAAGAACTCTATCTAAAATATTATATTCGAGAAACTGAACATGTTAAAGTTTTATATAAATTATCTAAACTGCTTTTGTCGATTCAACTCTTTTAATATGAGATAATCCTAATTGAATACCTTATCTTATCCTAACGATTGAGATCAATGAAAATACCATTTCAGGTCAAATAAACAAAAATGTATCCATCAAAAATCATACAAATGAATTACAAAATAATTCAGAATTTTTATATTTTATAGAAACAATCGATTTGTGGGATCCATGAAAATATTTTTAATAAAATCTAACAAACTCCAATAAGCTCTAACGAAATTTCTAAGAAATTATCAGAATATAACAGATTATTATTTTATCTGTCTTTATGTTCTAGTAGTCAGACTGTCATTTCAAGGTTTTTTCATCTAGACAATACTCTATTTGCATATGTCCAGATATATTTTGTGTTTTCATCATGCGAGCACTTTTCGTTAAAGCACAAACCGTTGCGAATAAAATGTTTCAATATTTTTTAGTTGATTATTTTTGCACATGATTAATTCATTTTATAGAACATGATCACATCAAGCAAAGAAGACTAACAAAGAAATAGTTTAGTCTCTTTAAAAACTGAATTCTCAAATTGAAAGAAGATTGACATGTTTACAAACTTCCTCTTCTTAATTTCTACAAAAATAACTATTAATGTACAAATATATTGAATTGTTAAATATTGCAAGATTTTGTTCGTAATGAATAGTTCACAAGAAAAATTCTAGTCATCATTTTTATTAACAGAAATTCATCTAAACTAACTCATTATAGAAGTGATTTTTTTAAAATTACTTTGAAATTCATTTGTATTATCTATTGCATCTGACGCTGTTTTTCTTTGATAGGAACTGATTAGACGTGGTGTACATATGGTCAAATGTAATATTAATAATCGAGAGGAATGCTGTCTGGCATTTACTGGTACATATGGCGTATTTGCGATAACAAACTATTGGAATGCAACAGTTGGAGGTGAATATGAGCAAGCTTGTAATTTGATTGAGGCAGCAAGAGTAGTGAACGTCCAACATTTTATTGCAAGTGGCTTACCAGATACGGCAGCAGTTGAGAAAAATCAATTCGATTTACCTCTACATTCTGTGTGAGTTCTACATCAAATATGATGAGAAATTTTTGTTAAGACGCGTATGATTGAGTCAATTAAAATACTGAAAATATTTCTTTCAATGAACGATCTAAATTCCCTTTAATATGAATATTTTCTATATTTTCTTGTTATTATATAGCAGCAAAACTCAACTGGAAAATTACATCCGACGATTACCATCTGACTCTACTTTTGCTCATGTAACCTTTATTCACGTTGGTTTCTATTATCAAAATTTTATCACATTCTTTGTACCTTATGCAGAAAATATTGAATTTCGCTATCCAGTTTTTTCATATGGTCGTATACCCTTGTATGATGTACATGATACGGGCAAAATTGTACGCGAATGTTTTGAACATCCTGAGCGTTGGGGTCATCGACAAACGGTACCAATTGTAGCAGAGCAATTAACTATGGATGAAATTTGTGAGACAATACGAGAAGTATCTGGGAAAGATATACATTTTGTTCCTTTATCATACGATGAAGCTCTTATTAAACTTCATCGAGAAACTGTAAATAATCTGAGATGGTACAATGATTTTGGTAGTATTGATGAACAACAGGTGGCGAAGACTAAAGAAATTTACCCGAAAATAAAAACATTCGCTGAATGGGTACGAGAAACTCAATGGTTGATGGAATAATAGAGTATATTTCTTATTATTAAATGTTCAATGATTTCCATTTTAATAAACAAATGAAATAAAGTCAATGTCTCTTGAATAATGTTCTTGAATCGTTTCTCTATCCACAGATTGACCTTGATCATCTATCTTTCTTGTTACTTGATCATTTAAATTTGTATGAACTTTTACTGAATACTCATTAAGTGTTGTAAATGTTCAATATATCGTGGTTGTTCTTCCTCTATTCAATTTCAACCTATAATCATCTGATAAGAGCACATATCTTCATTTTTTGTTAAATAATAAATGAAATAACTGGTATTTATGGCTACCTTACATCCGGTGAAGATGAATCAACTGCGAATATGATGATAGACTTTTAGTTGTATAGTAATTATTTTTTTAACTATTTTAGTTAATCTCTATCATGCAGCATTCATTATTATTACTACTAGCTACAGTTATAAATGAGTGATATTTTCTGATTTCGAGATTTTTCCTTTTCGATATTTACCTCTTCAACACTTTTCCTTTCGATCTTTTTATATCTCACTGTAGTTTTATTTAATAGATGTCTTCCAAATGATTTAGGTGAACACTTTTAACTAAATAACAATGTGCTCTTCAGCACTAAAACTAAAGTAAATCATTTAATTATTAACAAGAACTATGTATTTGTATGTTGACTCAGTTTCTGAGAAAACAGATTTTTTTGTTGTCTCTATGAAATATATGATCATTCATGGCTCTTCTTTCTCGTACTTAGTTATATTAAGGAAATGAGAAGAAGAAAAATAATTATCATTGTTCGTAAAAGAAATGCTATTGCAAATTGTGACACCTTTCAGACTGATAGGCCACTAAGATAATCTCCTACAGTTTAAATCCTAATCACATTGTAAGAAATCTAAATCCTTAACTATTTAATGAATTTGATATTGAGACTTTGTTTCGATCTTCATGTTTAAATACTGTATCATCAATCATAATGAAACATGTTTATTTATGTTCCTCTTTTTTCGTATTACTCAATTATTGAAAGTAAACAGATAAAACGGTTTAATGCTGTTTACGTCAGCATTATTAGGTATCGAGCTGTGTATTATATAATCAGGTGGATGAAGAAGTTAGCCCTCGGTTTATCACTCGTATCATTGATGAATCAAAACAACTTTGTCTTTTTATTTATCGTTTGATGAAATTTTTCAATTCATTTTGAATCTTCTTTTTGAGTAGTTATTAAAAACACTTTTGAAACACAAATCGAATAACTCAAGATGAATCTGCTGCCATTCGTATTTATATCATGCAATAAGATAAACAGAATAAACTGTATCTCATCGGTATCATCTGCATATGTAGGTGTACCTTTGATATTCGACACAGAAGTGAGATCAATCCTTATGATTGACATCGTGTATCATTCATTAAACATCAGTTCTAATCTACATGCTCTTTCTGACATGCTTATTTTTTACGTATCATCGATATTATTCAAATGACTAATTTCTCAATTCTAGAAACAGTTCCAAAGAATAATGTAGAGTCTCTTAATAAAGTTTTTTCACATTTTGAGTTAAAACTATTTATAAATTAATCAATAAAGTTACTCTCATAGCTGCATATGAATTGATAAACTAAGATGCAATGTCTAGTAATTGAGATTCGAATCTATTATATGATTACGGTCAAATTATTTTTTTTTGGTTCGTTTCAACATTCTCGTTCATAATATTACAACATCTTATTTTCGATCGACTAAGTCTACCATGCTCTTCTCACAAAACGATTCTTATTTCATTGACTTATGAGCGAAAACGTCTGTCAAGTCTACTAAAATAATCGATAATCATATTTATATTACTCTTATAATTCGTCTCTTCTCTATAGAAAGTTCATTCCGTAATTTTGAAGTATATGCATATATGTATAATCAACATTGAAACAAGAAAAATGAGTGATCACGGCTGATCTTTCGTCGATCTTGCTTAAGTTTCTTAATTATAATTTGAGATTAGAATAAAATGAACAATATCATGTTGCTTATACAAAGTCAGCATCACAAAAAATATTTCCATTTTATTTTAACGACGAGTTGATCAAACTTTTGTATGTTTTGCAATATGATAGTCTAATAACACATATCCACGATTTTGAACAATCTATTATTGGAAAAGTAAAAATGTTCTATAGAATGTATTTTATGTCATTCAATATAATGAATGAAATTGCTAATGATCTATGCCTGTATCCACGACAATTTATACAAAACGAGATTAATATATTTGCATTAAACTATACAAATAACTTTACCACACATATCTCTCTGTCATTCTTGTATATAAAAACAAAACCATAATTAAGAGAATAAACTAAGAAAAATTTCAAACAATCGAACTCAATCTGTTGGTAGATCTTCGTATTCCACATGAGATTTTAGTTTTTATTCTGCTAAACTTAATAAAAACTATTCAAAGAAAAAGAAAAAAAAAACAAGCGATGACTTGTTTTTTTTTTAATCTTGTAAACATAGATTACTTTCATCCTTATCTTTTTGTTCGCATTAAGGGTTATTTTATATTCAAGTAGTATTACTTTTGATGAAAAATATTTGTGTAGGTGATGAATATTCTTTTCGATTCATGTTACACGTCAGCTGCTTTGCAATGAGTAATGATGAATCACAGATTTGTTACTTTTCTACTTTATTCTGTCATTATTATAATATACTACGTGTTCGTTTTTCGTTTTGTTAACGAACCAGTAGAAAGTTAACATTTGCCGTTGAAAACAAGTAACATAGGTGTATTTCATAATAAACCTCAACAACAATGAGCCATTTATCAGAACTTTGGAAAGCATCTTTGATAATTGGTCCTATATTCATTGTTCTTTTTGGTACATCGATCAGCTCTTTATTTTTGGGTTATACAAAATACGACGAATGTCCATTTCAGCCGATTCTTCCTCAAGGTCTCGTTGGTTTTGGACTCATAGGCTCATTATGTAGCATTGTTGCTCTTATTCTTGTAAGTTTTTTTTTATCTTATTAAACTATGACAAAAGTAAAAAGATCGACAAGAAAAAAAAACCGATGATCACTAATCTTTTTTTTTTACAATTTTGACTTTTGAGTTTCATTTCATAGGTGAAAATATCCTTGAGTAAAGTGTACTTGTATTTTAGAACAGTATTGTGAATCTATAAGCTGAACTAACGAATAGATAATCAAAATATTGGATCTTTTAGATAGTGGTGTCATTTTTCAAAGCCGATGACTCAGGCACTCACTTATGGTATCTGCTTTATGCGATGATAATGGTTGCCATATATGGCGCTAGTGCATTTATTTGGACATCCATTGTCAGTATATATAAAACTAATTCTTTTTTGAATTTTATATTAATAAAAATTTAGATTATCTTATTGCTTCACAAAGAATATTCTAATTATCAATCAGAAAATCCGACGGACATCAAGTCATTTTGTCACGCGTCGATTGATAATTTCTGCAACGTTTTTGCAACGACTATCAGCGCATTAGCTTTGATTTTTTTCATCTGGCTAATTCGATGTTTCGTCTGTAAACTTTTCAAATTTCTTGGAAAAATATTATCGATACAAAAAAGATAATGAGTAACGACTTTTTCTTGATATTATTTTTATTTATTTTCATTTGAATAAAATTTTTATCATTAATTTCGAACATAATGTTAAGAATAGAAGAAAATTATGTCATAGGATACAAAATAAAAATTTTAATTCAGTTAATTAATCAATCGTTGAAAACAACTTCTTATTGTGAATTGTTGAGTATGCAAAAGCTTTTTGAACTTTTAACTTGTTTTGTTCCTCATATGAAGTTTTTAAAATTTAGAAAGTTTTTTCGGTGAAGTCAGTTGGTTGAAAACCTTTCATAAATATTTGATAGAATTCTAGGTCACTCATAGATTATATTGACAAAAACGATAGTGTAATTGAACAATATTTGAATAAATAGTTGAGAGCAGCTTGATTTGTTTTCTTTTAAGAGACTATATTTGAATCAAAGCCATTATCTATGTTTGTCGTTGAATATACCAATTGGAAAGGTAATATTACAATCAGCATTTATTTCATGTCATTGTCACAATAAATATCATTGATTGATATTTATGACATTCAATGAAGATGATCGTATAGAAGAATATTGAATTCTAAAGTATGTAATCTTACTTTGAATAATCGAAAGAATGAATTATATTGATGTAGATTGTTCAACAATTTTCACTTTTCTTGAAATAATTGAATAGTAAATTATTGGCTATTACCTTGCATAGATGATTGTGATTAAGTTTTGCTCGAATTCATCAAAACTTAACATATAATCTTTATCTGATACTGCCATCGACTTAAAACATTCACTGATTTCAATAGTAACTATTCGACAAGTATCATCACTCAGCTAAAATTTATCAAAATCATTATACTTCGTCATTGTTAGATAATCTCTATCTTCTACAAACATTAGTTTTTATGAATATTGAATGTCTTATCCCAAATATATACATATATTACACTTGATTAATATGACATAATCAAATTTTTATGCGTATTATAAATAGTCATTTGGAAATATCGAAATATAAACCAAATATTTATCGCTAAATATTATTGATGACGTGAGAATTCTAAATGACAAATATTTCATACTTGAATTATTTCTTGAAATAGGTTCTGAAGTTATCAAGTAGAACACTTGAACAAACATAGATGATCGAAAATCAAATCATTAAGTATACGCTATTAATGAAATATAGAAAATTAAATCGGAATAAAGTTGTAATTTTCAAACCATATCGTAAACTCGACGAACGAGAACAGAAAGAAGAACAATTACTGAAGCTTTTATTTTTATTTTTTGTCAGTTAAAAGGTCAAGGAACAAACATTTAGTAGGAGTTTATCAATTAAAGGTAAAACCAAAAACTTTTTGTTTCGCAAAAACACTAGTTACAATACAAAAATAGCCGGCATTAAAAACTCTTTATTGAACTGTGATTACAGGAATGGCAGCCTTCACTGCCAAAGTGTGTATAGGAAATATCACTTGTATTTCATGACATATTGATTTTTTAAAAGCAACGATATAGAATAACAAAATGTTATATGAACTAGCAAATAATTTCCGCGTTTGTTCTCACTAAAAAGTATAGTTTTGATCAATAGTTGCCAACGAGAACACTTTTAGTAATAGAAGTATCGACAACGTTCTTTGAATCTAATAAGAAGTCAAGTTTTTTTTTCTCAAAAGACTGAAAGATGAAAACCAATTTTTTTTTCAATTCTGTAAAGTATTTCTGAGCCGAAAAAAATCGATTTGCACTAAGAAGAGCAAAAAAGAAATGACTCTAACTTCCTTTTTTTGTTTCCTTGCGTTTTTCATCATTATATTTCTGTGTACCTCTTTCTTTCGTTACATGATAGTATTAATTGAACTGTATTGTATATGTAAATAATGTAGATAAAGCAACTATCTAACTAGGTTTGTACACTCTTGCTCTTCTCCGAACTGTGAAGGATTGGACCAGTCCTGCTGTGCACTTAAGTTTTAATTCGTAATGAACACGTCAAAACCGGTGGATCAGTTTGAGCAATATGTGGAAATTTGAAAAGTTAGCTAATGTTATTATAAGTGCTATGAATCAACCCTTCTATACTTTAATAATAAAGTGTTTTAAATAATAATCTGAATGTAAATCTGTAAAAATTGTATATCTTTAATAGCATAAATATTTTCATTTATTTTACAATTATATCTAAAATTATGTCTAGAAAATCAACTGATTTAATGAACTATAAATATCTGAGCAAGGCTCTCGATGATTTTCAAGAGTGGGAGGAGGGGGAGGGAGAGACAAAATTTGACAGACAGTCAGACGTGAACTGTCGGGCAGAAAATAGTCGATAAAAAGCTGTCCGCCAGAATTTGGCAGACAGTTTTTGAGGAAATTCTTAACATTTTCGCAGACAGGGAGTGAAAAGTGACGGGGGCTAACCCCCCCCCCCCCCCCCATCCCCTCCCTCTCACATCGTGAGCCCTGTACTTGAGCTCTCAATAATATATACAATCTACACTATCTTCATGTATATAATATTTTTTTTTTAATAAGTCGACTGATTGTACGATAGCGATATCTATATTCAATCGATCAGATGACTACTTTAGCAAATTGTTGAGTCATCGTTTCTCTTACGTGCAACTATTTGTCTGTCATAAGTATGGTTACTATCCAAATGATGACTGTTGGATTTTTTTTATGAATTATTATTCATCATCAATAATTGCATATAAATCTTCTAAAAAATGAAATTTAGTTCCATTAAATAGTCTGATTTACAGCATAGTATGAAAATGATTCATATTTCACCTTATTTGTAATCATTCAACTATGAAAAAAACACTTGCATATAAAGGCTGAGAGAGAAAAAAAAAGTGATTTGATCATTTTTCAAAATAATTAAAAAAAATGTTTTATTTTATTTTTCAGATTGTTATGTTTAATTAAGAAATCTTCGATTTACATCCCAGTGATTAATTATATATAGATATACATATTTTTATTGGTTTATTCTAACAAACAAGTAAATTATGTTTATTATTGATTGATGAAGAAAAATATTTATTTTATCTTGAATAGAAAAAGAAAAATTTTCTTCATTAAATAAAAATGTATTACTCTAGTCAAACTTCTTTTTTCATACATGGGAATTTCTTGCTCAAAGAAGTCAAATAATATAAGTACATCATAAGGTCTACATATGTCAAGCACATGAAAAAAAAAATGTCGATTCAGATACACTTTTCGATATCTGAATTCTATTGTATAATAGATGTTTGTCTGCATCTCTTACATTCTTTTTTTTTTCTTCCTTATACACCTACCCAATCAATCGATATTTGTATTTTTTTTGCTTTTTTCCACCTTGATCGAAAAGGAGAAAAACGAAAAAAAAAAAAAAAAAACATTCGAACGATGTATGTACTTCATTTTTTTTTGTCAACATCGCTAGCAGACAGACGGAGGTCAGCGATCTTTAACTTGAAATAGATTATCTTTTGATTTTCTACACATTGTATTCATCATATTATATATATGTACAATTGTACAACAACTAAATTTGAATTTTACTTCTTGTTTAAATGTATAAATTGATATAGGGTGAGAAGAAAAATCAATCTTCTCAATCCATAAAAGTGTCGAATAGATTTTAATACATATCATTGTTGATCTTTTTAGTCGATCAAAATCAAAAAAACAATGTCAGAATCTACAACAACAAAAACAGCAATAAATTTAACTCCGTCTATTCGTTCTGTTGCTGATCAAGCTTCATCAATAATTTCGTCCAATCAAAATGATACTATTAATATGGAAAAAAATTTAAATTCTTTTAAACAAAAATCAAATCAACGTCGTTCAAGTTCATCAAGTGTTTTATCAAGTTCATATTCAACCGATTCTGTATCATTATTTACGGCTAATCAAGATAAAGATGATGAAGATGGAAGTAGCAATGACGATACAAATGAAGAATGGGCGAATTTTCAAGAACGTCTCAATACAGTAAGACTATTAAGTAAGTTAATAGAAAAATCCACTGATCTTTTATCAGAACAAATCATAAAGTATCATATCTTATTCTGAATTGAATATATAATAATATATTGAGTTTCCAATGGGACTAGTTCTTTTTTTTTCTAAAATGTTAGACTTTTCAGATTCTCCTATCTTCAAATACAAATATTGAATATTTTGTTAAATAAAACAGCAATCTTCATTTATATATATATAATTCATGAAAAAAAAAATACTAGAAAATCTAATATATTCACAACAAACTAGTCCCATTGAGAACTTGTGCAAAACTCCAAACTTAAATTATGGATCTTCATAAGCATCCTGTACTCTAAATATGGCTGATCTAATGAAATAATATTCATTAGAATAACAATATATAATTTTATGAGATTCTCTCTTCAGAATATTGGTAAATTATAATTCAGATTCACAAACTCATATATATTTGATTGAATACTACATGTAACATCTATGATTTCATTCGTTAATGTTAAAACGTCTCAGTTATAAAAACAATAATTTGCCTTATCTACTTTTAGTCAGCTGCAGGTTCTCAAAATAACAAGTCATTTTTTTTATAATAAAGACTGGCTTAGTACGGTGAAATAGTATTGGTCTCCTTTTGTTTATTCATCCATCAAGAACTATAGCACTTTGTTAAAAAAGTACAGTTACAAATATACACTTCGAAAAAAAAAACAAATAACCAATATCACTTAATGGTAGTATTATTTGACGAGTACTACTACATAAGTACTATCTTCCAATCTGAAATATGTATATAAAATAATGCAATAAACCTTAGAATCTTAAAGAGACTCATACTAGTAGTTTTCTGATAGGAACTAAAAATATGACAATAAATGATAATATGAAACATTTTACTTAATTTATACGATATATTCATTAAAAAAAAGCAAAAGAAAAGATTGATTATTTTTAAATTTAAAGAATAAAAAAAATTGTCATTTATTTTAGTGCATAGTCATTCATTATCATCATCAGACGATACTTCAATAGCAGTTTTTCCAATATCTGAATGTCAAGTATGTCTTGAAGAATCATCCATTCGTCCATTATCATGTTGTTCATCAACTGTTTGTTCAACATGTATTTATTCTCATTTATCTTCACATATAACTGAAGCTAAAATTCGTATATCATGTCCATCATGTCCACATATATTTACTCGTGAAGAAATTTTATCATTATTATTAGAACAAGATCATAATGGAGAAATAGCTGAACGATATAAACGTTTTTATGCAGATATTAATCGTGAACCACATATAAAAACTTGCCCACAATGTTGTGCAATAAAAGAAATTGATAAAAATTTATTTCAAGGTGTTCGTTGGAAAAAAAATATTCCACGACAAGTTACTTGTAATGAATGTCAATTTGAATGGTGTTTTTATTGTCATGCACCATGGCATAATAAAATGACTTGTAAAGAATATCGTGAAGGAGAAAAATTACTTCGAACATGGGCAGCACAAACTGATAATAATCAACAAAATGCTCAACAATGTCCACGATGCAAAGTTAGATTAAACTTTCTTTCTTTTTTTTTGTTTTATGATTTAAACATAGAATAAAAATTCATTTTAGGTATATATATCAAGAAATGGTGGTTGTCCACATATGATTTGTTCGAAATGTCATTGTGATTTTTGTTACAATTGTGGTAAAAGAAGATATGGAATGAAATTTTTAGGTTCACATGAAAGTCGATTTTCTCCTTTTGGTAAAAATTTTGTATTTCTATTTATAACTAATTATTTAAATAAATTATTTCTATAGGATGTAAATATAACTTATATCCAGATAAACCAATTTTACGTTATACAGTTCGTGGATTAGTTGCTGGTGCTGCTACATTGGCTGCTCCTGTAGCAGCTGTTGGTGCTGTTGCATTATTAGCTGTAGGAACCACAATTGGAGCACCAACTTATGGAACATATCGTTTAGTTAAACATATACGTAGTAAAAAACGAACACGTCGTTCAAGAAGTCAATCAGTAGCATCAAGTATCACTGAAGATAATTCAAATGTGACTGAAGATAATTCAAATATAACTGAAGATGATGATTTAAATCGAGCAATTGCAGCAAGTTTACAAACATATAAAGAAGAAAAAGAGAAACGAGAAGAAATATTAAAAAATCAAGTAGCTGAAATTGATGATGAGAGTTTTGAATATTAATCAGTTTGAAAATCAGTAAGCAGTTGATTAAAATAAAAAGAAATATTGTATGTGTGAATTTGTTTAGTATATTTACTCTCGATTGTGTTAACTCATTCTTTCCTTTTTAGTTTTTAATGTCTGCGCTTCTATTTTTTTATACAAAAGATATATAATTTATTAATAATATTCGATTACATTTCAGAATATTTCTTGGATAAATAAATCGAATTCAACTAGTTTTATAATGAAACAATATTGTTCATTCTCACATCGTACTTTTAAATTTGAAATCAATATTTATTTTTTAAAAACATTTAAAATCATTTTTATATACTTATTCATTTTTCAAATATTAAAAATTTTCAAATATATCAATGAACATTTAATATCTTATTCTAGTCGATTGGTTGATTTTATGATATATGTCAGCTTGTTTATCACATATGATAATCTTTCAATAAGCAAACATGACAATCCCATGCTCTATAGTAGTTTGCATCGATCTTAATATTTTTTTGGTGAAGTTTATTTAAAAAAAAAACAAAATCTCTGAAAAATATGCTCACAATTCAAAGAACGAGAAAATTTAATACGCCTCATTATTCCCGAACCAATTGATAGAAGAACGTACATGAACATAAATTCAAAATAAAAAATAATAATTTCATCAAAACATCATCGAATAAGTCTAGAGATGAGTCTTTGCCTTTTTCTTATAATGTCAATTAAAGTTTGATACTAAAACGAAGAAAAGAAAACAATACAATGTTTTTACTCTTGTTGTGCTTCTTTTAATGCATTTTTGTGTTCTGAAAGAAATCTTTCTTCGTTTCATATATGAATGATTTTATTTTTCATTTTATAATGATCAAAAATAGTATATAACCATTAGACATTCTGTTCCTATCAGAAATAGAAAAAAAAACGACTCTCAGCACATAATAATTTATTTCAAAACCATACAAGAAATACATTGTCTCCTTCATACTTATGATGATTGAACTAATTTATAAACAAGACAACACTATAGTAAAAAGAATATTTTATAATTTGAAGAAAATTGAGTTTAGTGAATTATTATAACTTAAGCATTATCCATTCTGAAATTAACAAAATAATGGTTCTCTATCTTGAGCCGTATTTGTAATGTTGTTCATCTTGATGTAAGATTATTTCTTTCTTAATTACATTTATAGTACAGTTCCAATGAGTAGTAATGATGATCCAAGAAAAGTATTCTATCAAGAAAATGGTTTGGTAAATGTTTCAGGTAAAATTATACGGGCTTTTAAAAAGATTCAATAACAATAACAAATCGAAAAAAATTAGAACAAAGAATTGATCTTATATATTTACATTAAGTTATATTTAACTTTAATTGAAGTCTAAAAATTAGTGTGTCTTAATAATCTTTAAATGAATAAAGAAAAGAAAGTATGTTAAGAAATTTTAGAATCATCTGTTCATCATATCGTTTGTCATTGGTATTTTTTTCTTTTACTATCTGGTCACATGTATTGTTCTATATACAGGTATTTTTCTTTTCTATTTGTCGCTTTCTAACAAGTGTTTTATTCTTTATAAATCTACCTGGGTTATTTCCCTTTAATATCTAAGTACTAACCCTATATAAAGTAGTCGAGATGTCGATAATAAAATAGCTGAAATACCTGTCGTAGTTCCTATCTGCTCTTAGTTGTCAACTTATCTATATCTATAACCTCATAAGTATCTTTAAGCGTATGTTTATTTGAATAGTGTTTTATATCGTTGATTATTTGCTTTTGACTTTGACCTGCTTCATAAGTAATTTTTATATATGAATTTTTAGCTTAGATATTTCTTGTGGTGAAACAACAAAGATATTCTCTCAGAATTTGATTCGTCAATTAAAAAGAAGAGTATATTGCTGTGCTTGTTCATAACAATAATTTCGAACATGATTTTGTGATTTTGGATGTAGAAGAAGTCGTTCGTGCACACATTAAAATATGAATAACAAGAATGATCACTATCTATTTGACGATAACAAGTTTAGAATTTGATTTTAGATGAAAGAAAATGATGTTGTATTTTTGCACTTAGCTGGAACCGAAATGTACCTAAATTAATATTTACTTGAAATTCAATTATGTCTGTGACATATTATACATACTAACATGTGGACTGCCATCAGTTCCTAAATTCTAATTGAAATATACTCATATAAATGTATACGGTTTCCAATAAATTTTTGTCGTATTTGTCTATATCACTGGATTTTATATTTTTCAATAATGATGGTATGTCATTCTCGAAAGGAAAATGCTTCATTACAGAAAATGGTAGTCAATAAACATAAGAGATATATTATTACTGTCCAAAATACTACAGATTTGATAATAAACAGAGAAGAAAAATACGGTTTTTTTTATTTTTAAAACTTTTTTTTTTTCAAGTTTGATAAAGCGGGTATTGAAATTTCGACTATTAAATCAATTAAAAGAAGTATATTTGTATAAATAATTTTCAAAAAATTTTAAATCAGAGAATAGCTATTGTCAATAAAATGAATACACAATCGAATATCCAAATTATAAATTCTACAGCATCTTCATTAAGTAAGACTGATATATATATATGTTCAAAAGAAATCAAATGATGATAGCTTTTTCGTTAGTTATATACTTGAATATTGGGAAAGGATATAGCTATGGATTCTACATCCACACCACATACTTTTATTCGGTCTACGACTTTGATTTTTTTTTTTGAAATGAAAGCTTTTCAATTGTTTTTGGCAATTGTTGTTCTTTCATGATGACTTTATAATGAAACACACTTCGAATGCTTAATCAGCACTATGAATAACAACAGATTTGATGTCTGAGATCAATAAAAAGAAATTTCAATCAATAAATTTAAAATCGATGCGTTGCAATCAACGATGTAGAAAGTAATTGGTTAAATTATTTGCTCTATCATCTGAAATTTCAATTTTTTACAATTTCAATCACCATTTCTCTATGATGGCTTTTTGATGACTTTAAGAGAAAATTTATCTTTTTTTTTTATTTTCTGACTGTCTGGATGATTCAAGATCACTTTCTCTCAATATTGACTTTGTGATGATTTTTTTCTTGGTAGTTAAAAAGGTTCCCTGCTGACAGTAAACAGATTTCGTCATTCTCAATTTTTCTATTGAATTTTTGCTGCGTAAAAGAAATCCATTATTTTCAAGTATGCTCGATGATTTCGCGAAAAAAGAGCTGACAGAAGGCATGCACATCAATAACTATTTTTTTCTTTGTGAATGATTCATTCGATGTAAGCAACAAACTATATTCTTGTCAAAACACAAAAAGTTAATCTATCATATTCAGCTGGAGCTTTCCTAAACCCATCAAACATTTAGAAAGCTAAATGTGAACGTCACGCTACAGCTCAAGAACGAATTTTCATATTATTCTATTCAAGTACGATGATGAGAATCTACAAGGCTTGTTTCAATATTGCTTGTTATTAAGCTGCTCATCAAATAATGTCTAGACCATTTTGAATATGAAACCCTCTCTTACTTTCGGATACTTTTTTTCACAAATAAGACTTTTTGTTACATTGTTGTATTTGATGTGACTTGTGTTCTATTTTGATCGAATCAGATCGATTCTATTAGAGTCTTTCATCATCAGAATAATTCCTTGCCCAATCATGAATTACACAACTATGCCTCACTGATTATGAAGCCAAAAGCTGGTCATGATTAATTCGTTATCCATGTTATCTGTCTCATCAAAGACATTTGCTGTCAAATAAAGACAAAATTTTCAATCTTTCCATACATTTGTGTTTGAGTTTTTGTCGTTCAATATAGTAACATAGGAAAATATTCATAATCAAGCGTTCAAAACAAACATTATAGCTCAATAAATATTTTAAGAAAAATCAACAATCAACAGCCTGTCTCTCTTGATGTAACCATTTGTCGAATAGATGATTTTTGACTTAGCAAATTAAGTCGAAAGAAAATAGTGCTAGTGCATCACAAGCTAGTCTTGAACAAATTTTTGTTTCAAAAATTCTGAAAATATCTTGGATACTATAACCTTATATCTCTCCCAAATTTTTCATAGCAAAGTGCTGGACAATTCTTTGTTGAAGTACTCAAAATAGTGTATTGGAAAATTTCAAATAATCAAATTGAAAACTATCTTCTCTTATATTCTTCTAGAACTTAATCTGCGCTATAGACAACAAAACTTAAATGATATCATTCATTTGCAATAAAACTCAGTACGGTTGCTGTAATCAAACAGATGATATTGCCCTATATTTGTCACTGAAATCAAGGCAGTATTTTACCAACTGAGATAGCAAAACTATAATTAGACGTGTAGAGCGCATTTGGCTCCACTGATTCATCAAAACAACAGTTCATATGACTCCTCTTCTTATATTTATGTTGTGTTGAATAGATATCAGCGCAGGCAGACATTTTTCATCAACATGTATTGAAATATGACTATGGAAATCATTTTAGTTAGTCCTTTCGAAAGATAAGTTTAGAAAAATGTGTCAACAAAAAAGTATCTGTTCTTTTTTGTAGTTTATGTCTTTTCGTATTTTGTTTCCGGATGAAAATCTTGCTTCCAAAATATTTCAACAAACGTTGAAAAATTTCAAAAAATTCGGAGATCACTCGTGTAAACAATTTCACTGATATACCTACTAATTATTTTACGAAAGAGTATGACAGTTTCGAAAAAGAAACAAATACATCATTTTATCATTTCATGTGCCTTTTTTAAAATAAAACCATTTTCACTTCTTTCTTTGAATACAACCATAATAACGTTTTTATAGAAAATTTCAAGATACATCTTTTCATAAAGAACAAGCTATGCACTAGATATCGGATCCATATGAAATATGCACAATAGGTGTGAGACATTGGTGGTCGCTGCACCAATCAATATCAGGCATAAATTTGATTGAAGGCGAAGTGCTCATGGTAGAAACATTAGTGAAGAAAACTGACATCCATTTTAAATGAAATAAGTGACACATGTTGTTTCATTTTGTTTCATGTGGATGCATTGAAATCGTCAGAAGTGAAAACGTTGTTTACTTTCCACGTAAGAAAGCAAGCAACAACATTTTTTGAGTCAGAAGTGGGAAAGAGAATAAATTCACGTTCTCATAGCTAACCGTATCACAGAGAATTTTTTCTGTCGTCGACGATGAAACATGCTCCCTCTCTCTCAGGAAAAAAAGAACGGAAGAAAAGTAACCATTGGCAAACAACATGCCTCACTTTTAGACGTCGACAAGCATCTTATTAAGAGAACACGCTTGTTCGAAAAGTTTTTCGATACTATTTCAGATATATTTTCACTCAGATTTCTTATTGTGTGTTTGTGTGGACCTTGCTTTTTTTACGGACATCTGTGCTAAATCGAACGATTTTCCTACAGAAAAGGTCATGGGAGTCGATGGATCAAAACTTTCATATCAACAAGAGAAAGAGCAAACGGATTTACTCATGCAACAGAATGTCGAACTAGCAAGACATCTTTCCCATCAACAACACGCTGCACATAAGAGTAAACATGGTTCAATGATAAATGAGGTCGGCAAGAAAATGTTTGCAAATGTGAAATTGAAGAATAATGGCGCCACTGCTGAAAATCAAATGAAACAAATCGAAATTGAAGGTGTAACATATGAAATAATTGATTTCATCAGTAAAGGTGGCTTTGGTCAAGTTTACAAAGCTCAAGCTCGCAATAGTAATCGTATTGTAGCCATTAAAATCATGCAAAATAAACCTGATATTCGAGAGGAAATTCAAAATGAAATTAATTTCTTAAGTTTGACAAAGAAGCTATCGCTCGACAATCATCCAGTAATCAATTTTTTTGGTAGCCAATTCACAAAAGAGAACATTCACATCGCAATGGAATTAGCTTTTTGTGATCTGGTGGAATTCTGGCTCAATCACGTGGAACAGACGGAGCCTGAAAATAAATTTCTTTTGGGTATTACTATTATCGTGTACGTTCTGCGTGCATTAACTTTTCTCGAAAAGTTGAACATTATTCATGGCGATATCAAGCCACAAAATTTTGTTGTTGTTCCAGACAATAAATGTTTTTACGTCAAACTAATCGACTTCGGTACAGTTGAAAAGATGGATACACTCCGCGCTCAAATAACAGTCGATGCAACCAAAGCTCATACTATATTCTTTGCTTCACCAGAATTTTTACGACGTGATTCAAGAAATGTCATGGCACGGCATCTTCACAAAAAATCTGATGCATGGGCAGCCGGTGTCATGTTCTATATTCTGTTCTTTGAACGGTTACCTTGGCAAGATCAATTTGACTATGAAAATTTTTGCAACGATCCAAATGCCAGAGATATAGTCGTACCACATAAAGGTGGCTACAAGAAAATTATTGAACTTCTGCTAAAGAAAAATCCAGACGATCGTACAAGCGCCAAAGCGACACTCCTGCAGATGAAAGGGCATCCGCAATTGCATTATATTATCGAATCGTTAAATGAAAGTTTTTGTCCAGTTGATGATGTGTGTCGTATGAGAGTATCCGACGATATTCGACAACAGTTAGGTAAGAAACACAAATAGATGCAAATTTTGTAACGTTCATTTGAGATTCATATCAACTATATTTTTACAATTTTAAAAATTTTCATACAAGGCGATGATTGATACTGAAGAAAAACAGTGAAACTAAACAGATAATAAATGATCAACAATATCATGTATAATCTAGACGGATATCATGATTTGTTGCACTTTAGACTTTTTAAAAAGTCTGAAAAATACTTTTTTCTGAATAGTTACTTTTATAATTTAAAGAAATTGATATTGTTGCAAGCCCTATTCCGTTTTGACTTATGGTTGCAGTTCGATGTATTTATACCAGGCAAAGTTAGGATTTAGGTAAAATTAGATCAAGTTTTTAAACGATTCAATAACAATAATAAATCGAAAAAGATGAGAACAAAAAAATGATCTTATATGTTTACATCAAGTTATAGTTAACTGTAATTGAAGTCTAGTTTACCACAGCCTCCGCACGTCAGTACCAACAAACCCTAAAATTTCATGCGATTTCAGCATATCAGGCCTGAGATAGGTTTTTGAGGGGAGAGGGGACGGGCCTTAATGTGCTTGTTCATAACAATAATTTCGAATATGATTTTGTGATTTCGATGCAGAAGAAGTCATTCGTGCATACATTAGAATATGAATAATAAGAATGATTACTCTGTCTACTTGACGACAACAAGTATGGGTTGTGTCTTGTTGGATGGAAATGAAAATTAGAATTAGTTTTTAGATGAAAGAAAATGATGTTGCATTTTTGTACTTAACTAAAAACGAAATGTACCTAAGTTAATTTTCACTTAAAATTCAATTATGTCTGTGATACAGATAGGAACAGAATGGAGGAAAATATGTACTTCATGGGATTGAAACCTCGCATCTTCGACTATTCAGACAGATGTTCTAAGCCATTAGATTAGAAGAAGTACTGTAATCTTTGTTAGGCATCGCAATGTACAATCATTGACACTAACACAATTCTGCCGAGAAATTTATTATTAGAAACTCAAAAATCGATTTTCAAAGTGATCCGAGGAAGATCATAACTTGAGTAAAGATATGATATTTCTAGAATGAAAGCTTATGTAAAAAAAGTTCTAGACTTTTAAATACTCAGTTCAACCGATTGAGTGAATATAGTTACAGTGAAAAAGAATTTCGCATCTCGAAAGATGCCGTCGTCTGTTAGTAACAATTGTAGTGTATGGTAGAAATTTGAGCGGGTATAAAATGTATATAGTACGAACTATCCATGACACTTTGGTTTGCCTTATACAACCCAATAGTAAATGTTTGATTTGTTGTTTAAATTGTTTATACAAGGTATTCATCAACTTAAGCTGCGAATTATTTTCTTTTCTGTTGCTGATTATTTAAAGAATATTTTAGAGCACATACATGTGATAGAAATCTGGACATAATCAAACGCTATTATTTATTCTATCGATCAGGTCATCTAAACATAAGAGAGTCCTGTGTAATTTCATAAGAGTAATGTCGATTATGAGCTTTTTTGTATCTCAATTTTGATTATCGAAAGAAAATTCATCTTAATAAAACCTTTTCATTTTTTTATTTTTAGCTAAACTCGCTCGACCAGGCCATTTTGCCCGTGGATCTAATTCATCGTTAGCAGGACGATTAGGTAAGTATTGGAGATATATTGGTCAAACACGTTTTGTACTACAATGTTACTGTTAGGAAGAAAAAAAATATAATGATTCTCTAATGTTCACTTGAGATAGGCATTCGACCATAAATATACCTCTTAATGGTAGCTCGTTTGGACTTGTCATTGACGAATTCATTTAGTTTTAATCCCATTTGTACTGTTAAGGTGATTTATAGAGGGTCAGGCATGTCATTTTGCATTTTCGGCAAAGTTAGTTCTATTTTTGTTAGAATGAGTAAATTTTGGTTTCGAAATATATGAAACGTTTTCAATATTAGTTGTCAAAATGTTGATGATGAAATTTTTTTAATCGAAAAAAACAAGACTTACATATCTTTCTCTAGTACAAGATATACTAGCAACTGACAAAATGAAGTCTATCCGCAAAACTAAAGAGGTTTTCAAAATTAAACTGTAGGCTCATATAATCCATGATTTTCATTACATATTCTTTTTTACTTCTCTTGATAGCTGGTCCACGTCGCTCATGTAGATACGGCCGAGATTGTAACAGGTTTCGTATTTAAAAAAACAATCTTTTGTAAAACACTAATCATCGTTTGTTACGTTTCTTGAAGGCATGATTCTGATCATCATGAGGAGTTTGCACATCCAGGTAACTCAGACTACCATGAACCAGGAAGCGCTTCGAATCATCAACCTGAAAAATGTCGGTATGGATCAGATTGCTATCGGTACGTTCACCATCTTTCGGACACTAGTTTATGAATTAAAAATAATAATAAGCTCATTCCATGAATAGACTCTAAATAGCATTTAGAACGCCACAAATCAAAATCAATCTTGTCAATATGGAAAAAATATTTATTTCATGAAAGCTTAACATGTTGGAGATGATGTGACACCCACGGTGGATTACACTATTGAGTGGCTCAAAAGTTTTTTTTTACCGCAGAAAAAATTAAATATCTCTGCCATATTTTGACCAAAGAGACTGATTCTTGTATCACTGATAAAGGAATGTTCATAGCTCATATCCATAAGAGAAACGTTGGTTAAAACTCTTTTGGAATATTACAATTGCCATCAATACAGAAAAAGACCTTTCACAGTTTATGAAAAAAACAATATTTATATCGCCGAGAATGTGTTAATCCTAACTTTTTTTTTTCTTTCTTCAAGGACGGACACTGATCATCTCAAAAAATATGCACATCCCAATGACCCAAGCCACCATATAATAGGTGGCAGCAGTCATGGACATTCTGCAAAGCCAGACTGTCGTTACGGAACATCCTGTTACAAGTATGTTTAAGTTCTATAAAACTATTATTACTACTTCTATTTAAAACAGAAGTTTTCAGCGTAATCCATGCTATTATAACGTAGAACACGCAGAAGTCAGTTCAGACTATAATAGATAATTGTTGTTGTCTCTTTCACAGACTTGCGGGATATGAGGAGAGAAGCAACTGTAAGAAACTATAGAACTTTAGAAGCTTTTTGACTCCGTCACAGACATCTAATTGTGTCAGAATGGAGGTTGTTCACGTTTGTCATTGTTCTTCAATACTTGATAACAATGGTGTTTCATAAGAGGAACTATAAGAAGAGATAATTAGAAAAGTAGCTCCACGCAGGCTTTTAAAAGCATACGATGAATGTGACGAGTAATCAAATTTTTGCAATTGTATGTGTTTTTTTTTCGTTTTGTTCTGATTCTAACTCTCCCTCCTTGACAACTATCAAGATTCGACCAATAGAATCTGTACCCTATTAGGCACTCATTTTCGACTCTTCAAACATGTTTCGACACCTTGGCACTGATCGAAGTTTCGAGCACTCGGCATGGAGAAACCTATCGAAAAAAAACTACCGACTTCTCGATCACCCTTCAATCATCTGAAATCTGTCGTAGTTCTACCTACTCGAGCAAAAGAAGCGAATTGAATGGATACTTTCGAGTGCTCCAGCAGAAGCGAGCCTGAGACAATAACAGATGCGACTTCTGAGCTTAATTTTTGATTGTTTGAAGCATCTTCAAAAAGCATCTTTGAAATGTTTTTTTTTTCATTTGATAATTTTGGGAGAGTTATTTATTTTAGAGATATCTTTCAATGTAATTTCACAACTTTCTAAGTAATATTTAATATAAATGAAGATATAGTCATATTCTATTTACATATTTTGAATCTCGGAAAAATCTCTAAATATTGACTTTATACTTATTCACACAGATCAGTTTTTTATCGAGTTAGCACTTTGAATGGCAACTGAAATTCGAGAAAGGCTTCTCTTGTAGTTAGAGACGTGCAAAAGTTTTTCTTTCCTTCCAAGAAAAAAATTTTGTTTTAACTTCTAAAATTTACTAGCAAATGCTCAAGTAGCAAACAAACTTCAAAGCGCTGTCTTTTATGAATTGAAATGATAAATTTCATAGAAGAAAAATAATTCATATTTAGTTTAAATGTTCGACGAAGATTAGTCGTAAGTACCCATGTTTAAATCTGTTCCTGCCCGAATATTTGACAAATTCGACGACTCGAGAATGAGACATATATCGGACAAAATCTTTTTTATTTTGATCATTACTGTTCCCTCAAAAATCGTCTTTCGAATGATCGAGAACTGTGCGTAGAAATGACCTATTGTTGAGCACTCGATCCGTCGGAAAGTGAGAATTCGAGCTTTGCATGTAAGATTTCGATGCTCGTCGGAAGCTAAAATCGACGCGCTGAAATGCCTACTGAATAGGCAATTGAGTAATAGTTGCTTTGAATTTATGGGTGTCTTTGTCATTAGTCGACAAATCACTTCATCAATAAACTCAAACGGTAACTGATTTTCGTGGATAGTATTTTCTTGAAGACGGAAGGCACTCTCAAAGTGAGGGCGAAGGCAACATACATTGATCTGTTCATTAATAATAGTCTTGTGGAAGAACTTAAGAGTTCCTCATAGTATAGAGCCTGCCGCGAAGCATTCTACGAAGTGCTTATCGACGGTAAACATGCACTTCTATTCCACAGCAGTTTGACATGTTTCTATTGTCACTACACAAGCAAGGTTAATTTGGAGACACTACTAACCTAGTATTCTGACGTGAGAAAAATGAGAAGAAGAAAATAATTCACTGTCGACGAAGCATTCTGTCGATAAAAATTTGTTGACGAAATACTTTTCGACAAAAATGTCATTCGATGAAAAACATCTCGATAAGAAACATGTTTGATGAATTTGAGAGAAAAAAACATTAATAATTAAGGATAAGTTTTTTCAATACTAAGAAAAAAGCTCGATCATGTCTTGCTCCTTTTTTTCTTTCAGCGCAGACCCTGATCATCGCAGACAGTATGCTCATCCACGTGGTTCAAGCCAGCATGTGCTGAGCAACAGCAACCGCAGTCAATCGAAAAAGCCACAGTGTCGTTACGGGGCTGGCTGTTTTAAGCATGTTTAAATTCTATTAAATTTATTTACTTTATTCACGAAAACTGAGTGCTGAAGATAAATGATATATAGAAGCCATTCGAAAATTCAGTTTGAACATACTAATTTTCTAAAATCGAAGTTATTTTAATTAGCTTGATTGCATATCTGTATCATGAACTGCATGAATGCTCAGCAGTTGATAAACAGTGAAGAGTCAAATCACAATTGAATAATATGATGTGTGAAAATCTAGAAAAGAAAAACTTAAGAAATATTCTATACAAGACTGAACAATATTTTATGAGAAGTAGGGGTCTATGTGAGTATGATGACATCGGTTGAAGTAAAAATCAAAAGAAGAAACAATTTTCAGAATAAACACAGAGAATATAGATGATAGGTTATGATCTGTTTATTCATTTGTCAAATACTGATGCATTTTCGTTAGTAAATAGTAAGACTATTTCTCGAAATGGAAGAAATTTTCAGCGCAGTCGACACAGAGAAGAAAGTAAAGCTACAACGGATCAGCCTCAATCGCTGTAGATAAGTACTACCATGTCCATCACAATGCAGCACAGTATTGCACGACATAGATACTTCAACATAATGAAAATCGTGTTTTTCAAAAGATTCTTTTGTTCGAGAAGTATTAATAACATCTTCTTTCGTTTATTAAAGTGATGACCCGACTCATCGATCTCAGTATGCTCATCCGAATGGCTCAGCTAACGTGCATGGCACCAATACGAAGTGCCAATTTGGAAATGGCTGCAATAGGTAAGGTTTATTTTCTATTCGATTTTTACCATGATTTTTTTATTAAAATGAATGTCTAGGATGAAAGATCCAGAACACATGGCGAAGTATCGACACTAGTGAACCTACCTTTCAAAAACATTAGTTCGCTTTGCTTTATTCTTTAAATGTAACTAAATCATTTGAATAAAGTTCAATGAGATTTCTTCGAAATGCAATAGCTCATTCACACATAATGTAACAAAGTCATTTGATATATGTCATACGAAATAAATGACTAAATGTCCGACCAATCTATGCTACCACCAAAACAGGAATTCATCTTTTATTCATGATTTGACACAAATACCATAAAAAAGAAGTGAGAAGACAGTCGATAAGTTTAGGCATTAATCAGTAGTGATGGGTCGTAAGAAGTTCATAAGCAACGAAATGTCATGAAAGAAAATATGAAATCACGGAAGAGTAGCCGAAGAGTCTATCAGATCGCGGTAAGGATCTATTTTCGCACAGGTTCCGTAACTATCGTTTCATTTACGTGAGTTTTCAAAAATTTTAAAAGTTTAAAATTGCTGAGTGGCTCAGCACTATCAATCAGTCATGCTAAACTAAATTAAGTTGTCTAGAATGCGACAGTAAACACGGTGCAACGAGCAGTTCATCATTAGAGGTTAAGTGCAAATTTGATTGTATGATGTAAGTGAATGTATTGATATTATCTTACAATCACGATCTCACTCGCATAACCTCATCACACTCCATATTCCTACAGTCCCGCTCTCAAGTGTCATCTAACAGCAAGAAAACAGACTCGGTTGAGCATGCCATTCGACTAAAAATGGTAAAAAAGCCAAACTATCTTGTTATGTGGAACAAA